TGTGCATATAAATCTAGTAAGAAAGGCCCAGTAATCTCAAGCCCGTTGCAAAACAGAATTGGTCTCATCCAAAAACACTGGGTGATTTGTGCAATTCTGTGGGTTTGTTGCATCAAAATTGTATCATTTAGGCAAATGGAATCGAGAATTAATGGGTCTCAGCCCTACTAAGTAGATATTTATGTGTTTTAAAACTTGTTTATATAGTCCTCAATAGGTCAGCCGGGGTGTTTTTTGTAGTCAGTGTGGTCATCCATGGTTCCAAATAATTTCATCGAAATGAATCAGTTTATTTGTTGCTATGATCTGACTAAATTAAATGTACTCATTGTTTTCCTGTATAGTTGCTATGTCGCTCAGAGTGGTGAACCTGGTTTAGACTTACAGGCTTCTGTGCATGAGTGCGAGAAACTCCATCTGCTTTTCTTTTTGGTCTATCATTTTCTAATCGGTGAGGTAATACATAGTCTGATTTTTAGTCCCACGGATTTGTGTTCCAGTCATCAAATTCCATTAGAGTAATGTAAATCGTTCATTTTTTAGCAAAATCAAAGGTCTTTCATTTCTCTAGCAATCCTCTGTCCTGGGTTATGTTTGATTAACCGCCGCAACTCAGAAACCAAACTCACGGTCATTAACATTCGTATTATTGTAAGAAATAGACTATTTATGTTGGTGTTTGAATTCCATAGAATAGCATTTGCGTGTAGTTTATTTATCAATGAGAAAATGAAGCGCCATATCTCCTGTTACTACTTTCGCTTCATCATGTCCAATTCACTCAAGTGAACTCAAGTAGCACTCTTTCATCGTAAATAAGTCCTCTTAATGTTATTCTCTTTGAAATACTGAGGTTTATAATTTTTTATGAATGTGTAGAAAAGGTTGTAGTTTTGAGCTCTATCTCTCGCTCCATTGTGCCATAAAATCCTTTTGAAATTTGGAATGCAGTTAAATGTGCAAAGCACTGAGGAAATATTGGTGGTATAGGGTCGTGTGCAGTTACGAAAACTTTGAGCGTTTAATTTTGTGCCAGGTACACTTGTTTTACCAAATAATTCTATGCTATCCCGAGATGTTAAAATTTCTTCAAAAACTTACTTCAATCAGCATTTTAAAAAGTCATGCCTGCTTATTTATAAGTGAGCGCTTTAAAATGCTCACCTAAAATTTTGGCCTTCTTGAACCAAGAGACGTGGCTTTCTTCGTCTCCCAAATTGCATTTTTAAGAAAATTAGCCCGGGAATTATTTTGAGCTTAAAATGCATGCAGGAAAAATTGATAGTGAGCTCTTTGTGATTACGAAGAATACAAACAATACACTCACTTCCATTTATATACATATCCACCAATTTGAGAGCCTTTTAAATCTCCTTAAAGCCTAGAAGTATTTCTGTGACTTCTTTGTTTTCTAACAGGCTCGTCCGCTTCGGTTGGCATTACCATATCTCAATGAAATCTTGAAAACACTTTTCTTACGACCCAATTACTGTGAAGGCACCTAGAGTGTGCGCCAAATTTGAAAATTTAATTTTACCCTGTGCGAATGCTCTTATAGTTTAGAATAAATAGGCGAATCATCCTATTAAAACATAGTGCGTAAAAATGAACCAGTTCAGTGAAAATGCGACTCCAAAAAAGTACAATTCCGAGCAGAAGATTTGTTTGGCACAGTGTGGCTGTCGCCTGCAGGATTGTTTGGACGTAGTTTCACTAACCTAAGTGTACACTGACAAAAGAACACGAAACTAGGCAGTAAAGCAGCCAAGGTGGGAAACCATATTATTCAACTTGTTACGTATCGGGCTGCGGCCGGTGAGTAACCAATCTCCCAGGGAAGCAGTAGTGACAATATTGGCGAAACGGTTACTGGTCAGTAGTTTGAGAGCAAAGGGTAACTCCTGGTAAGGTACAATCGACTCCGGACTGACACTTCCCATCCCATCACTGTGCAGCGATGGCAACGCGCGTAATACGGATGCTTGGTGGAGCTTACATACAAGTATGGATGACTAGTATGCAAAAGTGTGGGTGGCTAGTGTGTGAGTTGTAGCTATACCTTAAACGTCTGACCATGAGTAAGTAAACCACAGGCCAGAGCCACAACCACGTCCAAACGCACAAGGTCGAGTCGACCATGTTAGACCCGTATACATACATCAGAGCTGCAAGCAAAGCAACAATGATTCGAATAAGAGTATCAAAATTAAAAATTATCAATAAAGGGGGTCGGGGAACAAGACGGACAATAGTTACTGTTTGCGATTTCCACTTAATTTAACTTGCTTTCACCCTATAGCATATTCAAAAAATTTGTCTCCGTGATTTCTTTGCTTTAATTACATTCCTGTTCATGTTTTTCCTTTATCAATTACCCGGAGAACTCTAATTAGTTTACATGATTTCTCCCATTCTTTATAGTTTTTTTTCACAAACAAATTAAAAATTAATTAGGTAGGTGAGTACTCATTGCATCCCCTCACTGTCTTTCTGGAATTGCTAAGTCGACTTTGACAAAGGGTTGAATTAATAAAGCAAGTAAACTTTAGGAACTTTTGCATTTGACCATGGTAACATGCATGTTGCATGTATGTTAGGTGCTTATTTTGCGTTGGGCTCTTATTTTGCCATTATGAGGGTGCATTAAATTCCCAGTTTAAAATATGTTAATTTGTGCAAATTGTTCAAATTAAGTAATATGTTCTTAGAATAGTAAAATTAGGCTTCTTCTTCCTATATCAGTTATCTTAAACTGCATTTCGTATAGTGCCCCAATGATCAAGTTCCCGTAAGTTCTCGACTTATGGATATTTCGTGTACAGATAGGTATTAAAATAATTTTTAGGAACCTCTGCTACTAAGGCACCTTCCTGCCGACCCCAATTCCTTAAAGGGAGAAAAGTAGGCGCAATAACTCAAACTTATTTTGTGAGATTTTGTGCGTTACAAGCGAATTCTCCTGCACTAGAATTGGTATTTGCTTATTATGTATATTCAAAACTGGTAAGGGGGATTTCCCAAAAAATTTGCGACAATGACGTAACCGTCCCTAACTGTCTAAATGGCATAAATCTGATTTTTCAAAGGATCACCATTACTTCTGCTCTAGCCAGAAAAGTACATGTTCGGTTGAATATACCTTTTAAATGAAAAGTGATCAGATTACACTAACCTTACGACTGAACGGACGGTGCCGATCTTTAAGGCGCAAATGGATTCTGATACACCACGAACTTTCGCAACCTGTAAATCGTTCCCATACTCTCTATTATAAGATGTCTTCTCGATCCAAGGTTCTGAAGTAGGAGGTTGAGGAAACAACTGAAGTATCGTATAAGTTTGCATCACTAATGACTCGAATTTTGCAGTATCACAATATTTATAGGGCTTGTTTATGTGTATCTAATCAATGTACTGGTTTTTATTATGATACTTTCAACAAATTTGGATATCTATTTAAGCTAAAGTACGCACTACGATTATAAGAGTTTATGATTTAAACCAAGACTAGGAAGAAAATATTATGGAAAACTAAGAAATCAAAAAGTGGAATCAATTTTCCCACATCAGGCTACACTTTAGTTTAAATAAAGATAAAGAATAAAAAGGTGTGCAATTTAGAGGATTTTTGTGTCACTGATTAGGTAAATCTCTAAAATCCTAAGGTTAATTCATAATTTTTAAACGAATTACTTCAATCCATCTGTTTAAGATTCTCAATATTTTAGCTCGATATTTTTAGCATTTTCTCAGTGTGAGAAGGTTGGATATAGTTTAAGGTGTAAAAATGGTTTACTACTTTTCTGATTAAGAGCACGTGCTGATAAAGAAACTTCACCAGCTTTCGATGTCGTCTTTGCTACCTCAGAGAGATTGAGCGATTTCCAGGTCGCATCTGTATTTTTGATGAGTGCTGGTTCGGTTACGCTGGAAAGGCACTTTCTAACTTGGGAGCCGCTTTTTGAAATCGGAGTTTTTTAGTTTTTCAACGTTCACGTGTAAATCTGTTCCGGCTTACATAATCTGTGAGCACTAAATAATACTTATAGAGCTTGTCTAGAGTTTAATACCTCAACTCCGTGCAATGTCCTCTATCCCTTTACCGACTGGCATTCAAGTGCCAAACTATTATTATAGCAAGAATTGCCATATGTCATTGCAGCTAAATTTAATATAATTTTATTGACAGACCGTGCCAGACTTATTTCCTGCGTCTTTTGAACATCCGAAAGAGCGGATCTTAGAGAACACCTCTGAGAGTAGAACTCATTGTAGGTCGGGCATTTTTGTTCAAATAATGCCATAAAGTCGAATTTTCCACCTGAGTATTAGTCATGAGAAGCTGATTTCATACAAAGTTCATCAAACCCTCTTCGACCACCAAATCAGATGTGCAGTAAGAAGAGTGGGGGAATAGATAATCAGGCTTGAAAGTGCCACATGGCGTATAAAAGGAAGATCTATAAGGAATATTCGTCTAAGTTATCCAGGAATGAGGTTAGCGGAGGTACAGCTTGCCTTTTACGCGTGATCAGTAAGGCGTACGATCACAATTTTTGTTAAATTTAGAGACTCTCCTTAAGTTGCCTTTAAGTAATTAAGTCTGTGCATTGTAACTTCAAAATAAAAGTCCTGAATCGGCAAGCAGCTAAATTCGATCACTAAGGTTTTCTTTTCTAAACAATGGAATTTACTTAAAACAGTGATTTGCAAAAGAGTGGATTAAGATCTGAGTACTATTATACATTCTTCACCCTCAGTGGTTATATTATCCTACCTCTGCATCCAAGTATAAAAGTGATTTTCGAACCAGGATTCCTTTTTAAAATACCCAATTCCCCACAAATTAAATGTATCCAATCAAATTGAACCTCGGAGAATTTTTGCATTGGACACGTAGGAACCAATCACAAACAAGAAATGTTCCTTTAAAAGGTATCCTTTTACAAGGTAGACTTCCAGCGTGAGGTGGTTGAGATGTGATATCTTGAACAGCGGCAATGTCTTCAAGTGCTTTGGATAGCGAAAGCCCAACATTGTTTTTTGAGTTAGCCCTACAGATCTACACGAGCCTTCTGCTTATTGTGGGACTGCCAGGGAATGCAATTAGTGGCTACATAATGGCCACAGATCGCACGAACCGTCTGACTACCCGAATACTGATGGTGATCATTGCTGCCGCGGACACCTCTGTTCTCCTCACTGCGGTGACTCGTTACTGGGCCCTGGAAGTCTTAAAAACAGACTTTCGGGACTACTCTGATCTGATGTGCAAAATGCACGTCTTCGCCGTTGCCTTTTTTACGGATTTTGCCGTCGGTTCTCTCTGTGCCGTAGCAGTTGAGCGATTTCTAGTTGTTGCATTTCCACAACGCGCAAATAGTGTGACATCATCAAAGACAGTCATCATAGGAATGGTCACATTTGCAATAGCATTATCTATCAAAAACGGCATTCACTTCTTCATAATGGGCTTGCGGGAAATTACTACAGAAGGCAATGTCACTGTTTCCGTGTGCACACCTGATGAGGATTATACCAGATGGACTAGAGTCTTTATGAAAATTGACTTCTTCAGTTTTGCTGTTCTTCCCTATGTTATTCTCTTCTCATGTAACCTGTATATATACTGTGTGCTGAAAAAGCAACGCAAGCTTCTGTCTACAGCACTAAACCAAAGAAAAGTGCAGGTTAGCGTACCCGCAGTGCAAGTCAATTCAGCCCCTCCCAACTTTCCCACTGCTGCCGATAGGGTTGAGAGGGACAATCGTACCACAGACCTCCCAATGAACTACCGCACGATCAGTCAAAAGAAATCCTTCTCCATTAGTGGCGGTGGTGATGAACCAAAATCAGAGCGGCGGAAGCGAAAGCCTGAAGATGTCATAAAGATTCTCACGGCCCTGACAGTAGTTCATGTGGTGTGCACCCTGCCGGGAACAATCTTCACTCTGCTCTCGGAGTACACGGACCTGCGCCGGCAGAAGCCTACCAAGTACGTGCTGGTGATGCTCATCTTCACTAACAATGCAATCAATTTTTTTGCCTACCTGGCCTCCAGTGAACGCTTTCGAATCCAATTCGTCAATTTGCTCTCTTGTGGCCGTACAAACCGCCGTAGACGGTGGTGATGCCAATCACCCTGCCATTCGCCACTGTGACATTCTGTCGTTCTGCGATTCCGATAGGTCACCGTTGCCCCCTTTATTTTCTAATGACCTACAAAAAATACCTACGCGAGTGCTTTTGGGATCCTTAAAAATAATCATTGTAGAAAGTTTTACCTAATTTACCTGTGTTTTATTGCCCGAGCAGGTGCTTAAGAAGTGGGTATTTTTACCACAGATATTGGCCAATTTGACTCCTTATTATAAAGTTCTTTAATGTTTCCAATATCTATGAACCATGTGTCATTTTTTACTAATCCTGTCAAACTGCTCACAAGCGTTTAACCAGCATTGGCATTAATAATGCTGCTCCAATTCATTCGTTTAGCACCACAGTCTTAATTTAACTTAAACAAAATTGCAAAGTTTTAAAAGCCATTGTAGCACAGTTAATAGCTGGTCAAAAGTTGTCAATCCTGTATTTGATCTCATTGGCAAAAATAAAACTTGCCCAAACAGTAGAACAATGCTTTAACATGGCAGATGTCTTATTTAGAAATTGGTTGGTTGTATGGTCCTTGAGGTGCTCCAGTTTGTCAATTCTCGCTCTATGAGAGCGAAAACAGGAGGTGTTCTGATATGCCACGTTTGGATTGAAAATCTAGGTTGCGTGAGCCTTATCTCTTTGAGCCATCGACAGTATTTTTCCTGTTTTTGACCGTAATTTTAGCTAGCTTAATCAAAATCTTGTTTATTCAAGACTGGCCGAATCAATTAGAGCATTTTTTATCTTACAACGATGCTTCTATTTATGCCTCTCTTGATTAATGACTTCTTTTAATTGCGTTTTATACATCTTTAATTTTCCAGTATGGCCTTCATGGGACATGGGAATGAGCATTTCGTTGCAAAATTAATCACCCACGATTTCGTACTAGAAAGAGGAAGATAATTTCAATCATTCGTCTATGATTCCAAAACTTCCAAAAATTTGTCGCTCGAATGTATTGCTTGATGTTAAATATCGTTGACACCTGTAAAAACCCACCACGGCTTAGAAGTTTTAATAGTGTCACCAATGGCTTACTAATTTCCTAATAATCTGACAACTAATCAAAAACTAGAAGAATGTAATTTTCCGCAGACTGCGAACATCCTGCTTCTATTTGATTGTTCTCAACTCAACCAATTCGTTCGAGATCCGATTTAGTGCAATCAATGATCTCCGGATTTCACACATGTGAGCTGGAAGTGAATGTGTTGAATACAAGCGAAAGATAATTATTCTAATTAAGGCAATTTGTCTTCCTGATCTATAGTAATGTATGTGAGCTCTGTGAATGCAAAGCTATTCGAGGACACTAGCTGCAAGATGTATTTTAAACTAGCGGAAAGTTTAAGATGTAGTGAAATGGAATCATGTTTAATGTATTGCACTTTTAGGGGTATATTAATAACACTCATTTGGAGGATTTTTGATGCCGCTCCGGCTAATGGTGTAATGTGGACACTGCCCACTTATTTTAGTTTTAAATTACATAAATCATGTGTGCGGTTACCCACCAAAATATACTTTCCTTTCTACCAATCAAGGCTGATCAAAGGAAACTAAAGTTTCCTAAGTAATTAGTACTTAGCTTTAAATTGCCTCATTGACGTACGGGAAATTGTCAAATTCCTTTCAACACCACTATAAAATTGAGCAATAAAAGCTTTCTTTAAAAATAAAAAAAATCTACTGCAGTTATCACTTTAAACAAAGTGTTCAACATATTATTCGACTGGATGCTTTTGGGTGTTTCCGAATGGTACAATCCGGTAGTCATGATTATAATACTAAGCAAACAATTACATGTAATTCCCAATGAAATTTGTAACGCATTTTTTTAGAAAGATTGATTGATTTCATTATAGTGATAACGTTGCCTTACTTCCTTTTTGGCCTGAGTTGATAATAATGAGTAAATCGCTTGTTAATATGTGCAACACTCGAGATATTGATAGCTCAAAGTAACTAAAGGATTATAAATCGTTAAAATTTTTTGAAAATAGCCCCATCTAAAAGAATCTGAGATACTATATTACCTGATCAAAACAAGTTATCTCCACCGATCGAACTTGTCACCCGACTCCCTCTGCTGGCCTATTGTAGCACAAATTTTGGACTCAAAAATCTAAAGTATTAGACTCGAAACAATCCAAAAAGGCGTAATCACTCGATGCCTTCAGTGAGTTCGTGTTTTCGGCATTATTCGTCTATGCTTCCTCAAAGACCTTTGTTAAAGTTCGGCCCTAGGTCGACGAGCAAGACGTACACATACGGGTAAAGTCATGCAAGTTTTTTCCTTGGTACTCCAATGACTGATCGTTAAACAACCGGCGGCTGTTGCCAGTGCTGCTTCTCTTTCTACTTCAAAACATCCCTATTACACTCAACACACTATAAGGTGGGACCGGATTCCTTAGCGGTATCAAGGAAGCGCATCGTGTAAGCAGAAGTGAAAGGTGATTCTTTTACCTCATAGATTATTGATCAAGTCAAGCTGAGTAATCCAGTGAAGACGACCAACTACTTTTGTTTCCATGCTATGGGCACTCCATCATTCAATGATCTACTTCAAATACATTTAAGATGGGACTTTTAGTTTTTCAAAACTGCCAAATATATCAAGAAGCGTATTTTGCGTATGGATTTGTCGGCTCTTTCATCTTCTTAAGCATAAATAACGTGAATGTCTCCTTGTAGTTGCAAGTCCCAAACACAATTCTTTTTTGGTCCAGTTGAGGTATTTTGTATACTCAAAGTTTTATGATCTAAGCATCATAAACCACACCTTTGTGTGGTGTAGACTGCCGCTCTACATTGAATATTTTAACAATGAAAGACAATAAAACCCTACTTATTAACTTTTCATGCGATTTCTGAATGTCACTGTTACAATTTTAAAGTTTCTGTGTTTGACGGATAAAAAGATTTAATGTAACCGTGAACAAAGCTTTCATTCACAAAAGGGGCCCAACTCAGCGAGTCGTCATTTCGTATTAATTAGTTGTGCATCTTGCCAACCATCGTCCACGGTTCCGGTAAGATCGAATTACCCAATTTATTTTTTAGAAATTTCGCATTTCTCTTTTCCATAAGCATCTAATTCGTACTAAATTTTGCTATAAAATAGTATTTGCATTACTCCACTGGGAATTGCGTTTTCATGAGGACAAGTTGAAGACCACTAACGAAGTACGTCCATACCATCTGGACGATTAAAAAGGGAGCAATATCCAAATTGCACTGACCTCATCAATAAGGGTTCAGAATGCAAAATAAACTAGCGACATAATTAAAGGGTCGTATAAACCTTGAAAGAAAACCACTTATCAGGCCCACCCACACGTGCAAAGTAGTAACTTTGTAATCTTCGGTACTGATCCACCGCGTAGTCTTCCTAAACTAGGATCATCTCTATATTCTCCCAAATCTCGTTAAATTTTGACTGCTATGGTGACGTCGCAAATGCAAATCTTGTCATGCTGTATGGTTTTGTTGGTTTGAATTTTTCTCGCACAATAGTATAATAATTGAAATCACCGAAAGTCATGAATTTCTATTTTATTGGTTCAATAAAACAAGTTAAGCCAGACTCCTCACACTGTACTTAACATGAGTACCTGTAGGAACAGTGAACGTTATTTGTCAAAGCGTAGACAAGTAAATTTTCCGACTCTACGATGATATTTCGAGACACTCCCAATTGTTCATAACCACTTCATAATATGCATCCGCATGACATAGCGCACCACACAGGCCTCGTATGTTTGACCGACTTACCCTCTTATGTTATTGCTTAAGTAAATAATAATTTGCCGAAATCTCAATTAATCGAGGTATGTTTATCAGACGCAGTAAAATTCCATGGCCTCCAGTGAACGACAGATTTGTATTGATCAAAAGGTAACGGGAGTTCCTCATTTAAATTTTATTGTGTGCAATCTAATAATTTATCATTTACTAATCATGACTTGACAATCTAGGTATCTTCGTGAAGCTCACCACAACCGAAAATGGGGTAAAATGTGTGAGGTTACTGGAAAAAATATTAGTAAGGTGTACAGTGATGTAGAATTACAATAGATTGTCCATGATTTGGGGAAAATTAATAAACTCATCTCCTATCCATTTTTGCTTAATGCTTCAATGAGAAATATGTGAATCAGCAAGTTGCTTTTATCAGTATTTTAGGAAGCCATCAAAAGGGTCATTAACAATGAGTCGTTCCAGATGATCTATAGTTGCTCTGGCAAAGTTTACCCCGATGGATACGTAAAAATCTTACGTCATAATTTACCCTTATTGACATGACGCATCTGCAGAACAGTACGCTACTTATGATCATCAAGGAAATTGTAGGAACTTCAAAGGCGAGATACTCGCGCTTAGTGACATCGCAGAGAAAGAAGCAGAAATCCATCGGTGGTAGAAGTAGTAGTAGTAGTGGCAGAATTAAACATGTAAAGGCTGCGCCATTTCCAGTCTGCAGGCAGGCCAATTAAGCCTGTCAGGTGCGATGGGCGATAAGCAGGAGAGGACGACAGTTCAGCCTCAGCACAGCGTGACCCGAAGCGGACGCCACGTTTGACCGTCGTGCCAATAGCTGCGAGGTTTATTATCTGATTTCCTCTTTTTGACTCCAGCCTCGTTCCCCTCCACTTGACTCACTTCTTGTACGTAATATAGGTTTTGCGGTGAGGCTTTTCGTTTGGTTTAAATAAAAAAGAGGTTAACTACCAACTTTTTGAGGCACAGGTTCCTTTCGAAGGCAATGTGTACCAAATTTGAACAATTTTAACGCTGCTATTATGTCTCCTGAAATAAGCATGTTATAGAATTGAAATTAATTTTTTGAATGTCGAAAGGAAACGACTTCAAAATATGTGATTGCTTTTCAGACAGTTCAGTTGACACTTGACTGATTTTTAATTTATTTTAACTAGCCGAAATTCATAAAAAGAAGTGCAAAAATCTCCCCCATTTGACTGTTTTATGTGTATCTGGAAATTAAAATTTGTTTTTTTTTTTAACAAAACGGATTTTATGAAATGCCACTTCTGTGCCCCCGGAACTCGCGCTTAGCGAAATAAAGGTATCATCTCACAGCTCTTCTCCTCAAAAATAGGCAAAATTTTTCATTACTTTCACACGTTTTATGCTGTAAGCTGGGGTGCTCGTATAGTGCTCTCATTTTTAGTGGCCGAAGGTCGATGGAAACAGTAATTAAAAATATTGGGTGGCCAATCGGCAACTGTTGACGGTTCTAGGGATACGGCATACATTTGTCCTATAGAAAAGGCAAACCCAAGATCCAAATAGAAGTTTACTCAGGTTTTAGTGTTTTAATATTGCTGTTAAATTTGTACTTCTGATCTTTCTAAGCTACTTAAAATCCCGATTTAAATGTATGCATTTAACTTACCAACAGATGAATGTGTATGCGGTAAGTTTAAACTTTAGCAGTGAGCATCTCTAAACACACAAATCGAATTCAAAGGTTTACAGACTTTGCAAGAGCTCATTTGAAGATCGCATTTCTGAACACACATTATACAATTCACATCTTCCGCCGGCTTCTCATGGAACGATTTCCTCTTTATGAGGCAACTAACAATTAGGGTATGGTGTACTGTATGCTGTGTCAAATGTGAGACTAGACTCGTAAACACAGTTTTATGCCATGACCTCGTTCCATGTGGTAGAAATACGCCTAAGTAGGGTTTAATTTGATTTCTGCCACTGAGTGATAGGATTGAAAGTACGTATTCAGCAACATTTTAGATTGGTAATAGATTTTGCTGCCATATGTATAAATAAACCTAATTTTCCACTCGTCTAGATTAAAATTTCTCCAATGCAGTAGAATGGCCACATCCCACGTTTAATGCATTGTTATAGTCTCGAAACTCTTTAAGCATTGATATGATTGAAAAATAGCTAGGCAATTAGTAAAAGGGAGAAATTCTTCACTTATTTTAAAAATGTGGAATGGACCCATTCCTATTTATCCCTGTAGGAGTGTTGGAAAGCTATTTTTCTCTGGATCATTAAAAGACACTTAACAACTGCGCACATTTAATTTTGACGTAAACGCCATTCTCGCTCATATTTGCCTCGAAATGTCAAAGCAGATCAGAACACACTAACCCTGAGCCACCTCTGGAATTGGTGTAGTAATTTTAAACCATGCTTATGGTGGATGGCTTTATTACCAGTGGCATTAAAACCATGCGACACTTTTGGCTGTGCAAAGGTAAAAAAATTCTAAAAAGACAAGACGAAACTTAAATAAAAATGAAGCACAAACAACTGGTCTAAGAAGCGGGGCGGATCATTAATAGGGTCTTTTGCTTGGAAGATTCGTGCGAAAGTGTTATGGAGCTAGCATACATGATACATCGCTCCTGGGAGTCCAAGAAAATTACTAATAAGGAACAGAAACGTTTCTTAGGAATGGAGCAATTGGATCGCAAGTAAAAAGCAAGAGTTTCGTATTATAGCAGCGAATTGGATTAGACATACTGGTACAGCCTGAGAGGAACAGTAATTGGCGGCATTTGTTTTGGCATAAACTCGTCAGACAATATGGCCATAAGTCGGAAATCCTCGCAGATATTATACGACCTCCATTAACCATTCGATTCGCTTCTTAAGTTATTCCATAAAGAGACCTCAAGAAAGATAGAGACACCTTTTGCAAAACTTTAAGTTTAACTTTTAGCTATGTTGCTATTATGGCTATCTATCTGTAAACTAAAATTGCTCTCTAAGTACTTGATATTAATGAAGTGAGAGTAGAAAAAGCTAGATCATGCAGATTAGATAAAAACGTAAAGTGACTACCTTATTTTATTCCCGGGAAAGTACCTAGTGTCAAAGATCCTGGAAAATCTCAAGGTTCTCCTTAGCGGGGGCAGTGAAAAGTTCAGATAGAGCGTGGGTATCCCATTGTAAATAGTATTTTCTGCTTTCAGTTGCGGTTGCCATATAGGTCTTCATTTGCTTAACCGTGCCGGTCATTGCTTTACCCTACAGAGCTTCATTTTGCACAAACAAAATAAGCAAGAATTCTCAAACATGACTAAGCAGTATTGGAAATTATCGGAACACTTCGCGTTCCCTCATTTTCAGAGACAATGGGAATGCGCAACTCTGCTTCATTTTGGTATTACATTAGCAGTGTATTCAACTCAGTTAAACCAGTACTTCGCTGATTTCCCGAACATGCAGCAAATAGTTTATGCCACTTTTCTAAAAATTTTCACCACTCCATTATTAGGGATCAATAATTTTGCATATCGACACATTATGTAGAGAATCTTCAACTGTACTAAAACGAAATGATTTCGACTTTCAAAGCCTTGTAACTCACCGTGTACTATGTACCTACATGCTAACCCTAACACATTCACTAGCCTACTATTGATCTACTGTTCTAACTCTAAAAAGAGCACATCCTAGATTGTTACGATCCCACTACATAATAGCCGCCTTGAGAGACAATTCGCTATGCATGACTACATTTTTTGTTTTGACCGAAAGTGGAGATTCTCGCACACTGTTCTGATATGCGGAAGAAGGGCAAAAGATGTGTGGATGCATATACGATTTCCCTTCCCTATGACACCGTGAGCACAACTTAACGTACTAAATTTGTAAGCAAGGAAATTCGCACATTGAAATAAAGCTAGATTTTGAAGTAATTATCTACTTCAGGAATATTAAATTAAATTAAACCGTTTAGTCCTAAAATTGCTTCGTATTCATTAGGTCTGCTTCAAATAAAGCCAAACTTCCATTTGAACATTTGAAAGCTTCAACTGACGCTGTATTTAGAATACGGGTTCAAGTAAAAGCTTCCGGCAATACTGCTTTGTATTCAGGACCAGAGCTTATTAGGTAAATCCTTACATGAAAAAGAATTATTTAGAATGTGGACTTCACCACTGAATACTTCCCAACCATTAATAAGGCATGTACTAAACCTTATTACCGGTCAGCATTTAGCCATTGATTACAAATTCCAATTCAAATGATAAAATCTATTCACCTTTTATGTCAAAATAAGGCATGCGCACTTTAAAGCTTGTAGATATGTGGCATTTAACCTGACCACATTCGTTCTTCGAAAATGTACAAAGCCTTTTCACCAACTGGTAAATCTTTGCCTCCCCTCTAAGCTACACCCGTAACACCTCAGAATAGTAATTAATTGTGCCTATTCACATCAAAGGTAACAGGTGACTTTGCCAAACTTAATTGGAAATTTTTGAGGTGGTTCTATAGCGTCTGAGGTTATCATCGTGACTATTGGTGACGAGATCTACATCGAAAAGTAAGTCAGTACTCCATCAATCTTAGTCATAATTTCACCGGCATTGAGGCATACTGATAGCGTGTCATAATATCACACTAAAGTATTGCTAATTTTCCTCAGTTTTGATCACTCTCCGTGATACAGAGCCCTTAAAACATGTCTGCAACCAATAATTTGAATTTTTAGAGCAAACTAATAAATCTAGTTTTTAACTCAAGCATTAGTGTCATTTCTCCATTTGAGATTGACATTTTCGTCGGGTTTTCCCATACCAAATCGAAAAAGTTATCCCTTTCCAACTGCCTCTACCTGGTTCCGGTTTTATGATAATCGAAACAAACACATTTTGAAAATATTTCAATTGAGGAAGAAGGTTAAAGTTTTGCATTAAAAACGCAAAGCTGCTGAGTTTCCAAGCTTAATTATGACCCATAAATATAGCCTCCTTGTGGGGTAGCTTAATAATCTTTCATTAAAAGATTTAGGCTTTCAATCCGATGCCGAAACTCGCATCATGGTCCACTTTAAATTGGAATTGGCATTGATCCCAGTCAGTTGAAGACTCTCAAAGGTAAAAGCAAGGCAGTTTTGGGTTTACTGTGCCAAAAAGTGCATAAATTCCATATTATGGGTGCAAAAATTTGCGGTAGTTTATTTTTAGGATCTTAACAGAGGGATAAATAGTACTTAGTGGCATGTTTCGAATTCATTTACGATGAAGATAAAGTTGTGTCTATTTCCAACCATTTATATTTCCGAATTACAGTTATTTCTAAATGTTTTTAGGCAACGATTTTCCTTACAGTAATGGCCCCTGGTCTCGAAGACTAAACCGACTGCAGCGATAAATTGACATTAAATTCTGTTTCAAAAATAGTAAACCCGTAGACTAATTTAGTCACCGGCACTTCACATAACGCTCGCTACGTCTAGAAATTCGACTTATGGGTCGAACCGGCAGATTACCTCAGAACTACTTTTTAATTGACTAGCTACAGAGGGCGGAGTTAAAAGGTGAAATTCCATTTTCGTGAATTTCAGAAAGTTATCCCTATTTTTACAACTCCTGTTCCTGGTGCAGTTGAATTTTGCTTCAACCATTGGCAGCAGCAGTTTCTGAGATCTTTTTGAACATTGTAAGCTACGCCTCCAACGTTAATCCAAAAAAAACCTTTGGTAGAAAAAAATCATTTTGCAGCATTTGGGACTTTCGTGGGGATTTCTGTAAATATGCCACTCATCTACCTAGCTACTTTTATAGTATCGTTTCAATCACTTAATTGTTTCGCTCCTACAATTCCAATTTTCTAAAACTTGTTCATTGTGATTAATTATCCATCAAATTTGTTGAAGTGGCTTTGAAGATTTTCTGTTTTCCTACAATGAAAAGGGTGCATTGAGGCTATAATGAATTACTTTCCAAGCACACTAGTTTGGAAACAGATCAAGGGTTACGTTCTGCATTTCGAAACAGTCCTCGACTTGAATCAGTGATTGTATTTTGAGTTGTCCTAGTTGGAAAAAAGATCCCTCTCATCTCATTGTTTCCTAAGTTTAAAATGTGACATAACGAATGATTAAATAAACATAAGGTTGCTAATCACCATCTCCGAGCCATGATTTTCGAGTGACCCTAAATTACTAGCGATTTATTACCAGGATCAGCATAGGTCAACCATTCTTTCTGCGACTTTACCCATATCTTCCAAGGGTAGTCACTCAAGAACTCTGTGTTGATAGACTAATATGTTTCGTGCAATGATTTATTCAGAGAAAATGAAAAATGTGAAAGCTGTATTGAATTCGTTACAATTTGTCAACCATAACATAAACCTGAAATTTACTGAATTGATTTCGATGGTCACTGAAAATTATTTAGTTTTGCAAGTACTCTTCATCCACTTTTTCAGGGAACACTGATTACACAGGTTCCAGAAAATTACTCTGCCCTTAAAAGAGGCGCTGCAGTTCTTACTAGATTCACACCATCTGCTGCTTTGAGATGAGACAAACACAAAATTACCCTTTAAAGCTATCATTTGTTCGTTGTCAAATGTCGACACTAAAGACTGTATTAGCATTAATCAGCCGATGAAAACAGTAAACATTGTCCATTTATAGAAGCTAATGAGTGCAGGATTTCTTATATTACTTTGTCTCAAATTACTCATATATTAGTGTAATACGACTCTTATCGTACCCTTGTCATTGTGGGTTTTCATCCAACAGTACATCACAAGATTGACCCAAAGTGCTCATAGTAATGACCCCTAAGTTGTATCTGAATGTTAGGCCTGAAATGCAAAGAAGACAAAACACCGGTGGCACTACCGATTATGATTGACCTTTGCTACCTCTTGAAGGGAAATACATAGATGTAACAAGTACGTTTTTACGCTAACTCAAACATCCCTAAACGTAAACAATGGGAAGTCAGACTACAAGAATCTTTATTTTTAAACGTTAGCATGTCTGTCGTTTACAAACAACTAGTGTTCAGTAGCACTAATATTGCCTCGGCTGAAACACAAGCTAGAAATGACCATGATTTCTTGGTTATCCGCAAGTTAAAATAAACGATCAAACAAATGCTCTATGACACTCACTCTGGCATACTTTTGCTTATGAGGGTAATAAGGTAAAGTGATTTGCAGCCTGAATGTATTACTCCTTGAAGTACATTTGTAGTTTAATTGTAGCTTCGTGAGCCTTACCCGAAGTTGTAATAAGCCAAAGCGGTACGGTAGAAAATATATTGCTGTCGTACATGAGAGCTGTGGGGATATTTATATGCCCTGAAGGCCATACCGCAGAATGGAAGTACAACCTGCAGGGGCCGAAGTGCTAGCCTAGTTAAACACACAGTTAAACATGCCATTCAATCGCTAAATACTTTCACTAACAACGATGCACGTTGTGTTGCTATGTCTATTTTAGACTAATTCTACGTCTACTTTTTATCACTTTCCTTGACGACTTTGTGCTCATTTAGGAAAAAAGTATAAGTCAGATTCCAAATGACAGATTTCAAGAAGTGGTGATCTTGGATTTGATTTCTGTTTTAAATTACCTCCTCTCGACAATTAACGTATTCAATATCTTCCTGGGCAAAATTTGTCTTCTAAATCAGCATCTAAAAATATCGTTCGTGATCTCCTAAATCGGTGTAAATTAGTTCGCCAAATTTATCTAAATGTGTCTCAATACTAGTTAAAGAAACAAAAGTTAGGGCTTCTGATGGCTGGTTAGATGTTTAAAACATATTTAGTAACCAACATCCTGTATTTTATCTTGCTGTGCTGAATTCATTTTGAATGGAAACATACAAACCTATACACTAACAAAGATGGTATCTTTAGGATTTAGTTTGTTGAAAAGCCTGTTTTTTGCACGATAGTAATGTAGCGCCCCAAGACTTCACTAAAGACGAGAGAAGGCATAATACTCGGGTAGAATATGTAAATGCTACGTGCAGTACGGCTTGAAACTACTAGCATGCCATGGAGGCCAGTTTACAATGTCGGAGACCCAAAGCGGCTCCCTTACTAAAATCGAGAGTTAAAGGATTTTCAAGGAATAGATGTTTTCAAATCCTCGATGTGATACTGGGATACCTTAGGGAAATAAAATAATTCATTCCTAATTATTTTACAACAAATTAGTGTCTAAGGTTCTTCAAATCGCTTAACAAAGTGAACATTATAACCAAAAATAAAATTTCAGTAAATTTATTTTATTAGAACACAAGTAACAAACCTTAACAAAACTCTCCACCTAAGAGACAAAAAACCTGAGACTCTCAATCCGGAATAATGATAAAATAAGCTTAGGGATTGTCTTAATGTGCAGTGGTATTCAAAAAAGCAAAACTCACAATTTGATTAATGTGTAATTTCTCGGAGGCTCTCACGATAAGTAATTAAGGGCTGGAGTTCCTGAATTAACGTTTAATTTTGCACCTTTCTTTTTGGGTTAAAACCGGAATTTAAGCTTTAAAGGTCAGCCTTACCTAAATAACACAATCAGCCGCTCAAATAAATCCAGAAATAGACCAGTCGCATTGTTAATAATTCAGCAGAAAAAGTTTTTTTCGTTTATTCGATGATAAAATTAATGTTTCAAGCAAGTGCTCAAGTTTCGGGGATACTGTAGGGACATTTGACACCGTAGTGATAAAATCAAGCCTCCACGATAAACGTTAGTAGATTTTATTGCGTCTGCGTGATTCGAATTCTCAGCAAGTCAACATATCGCGACTACAAAGCTATCGCTGAAAAAATGGCACTTCTTATCTTTTCTCGTCGGTTATTTTTAGAACGATAAAACATCCTGCTTGTCTCCACTGCTATCGTTGAAGAAACTCCACAGGCGAGGAACTTCACCACCATTCTAATAGCGACAATCCCATTTCAAAAATAGCTAAGGCAGCGGTAACAATTAGTGTTACCTCTTCATGAATACACAAACGTGTTGGGAATTATTTACGGCAATGCGTTTACCTAACAAGCCCCTCCTCTTATCGTTCAGCCTATTACGCACTGCATGTTACAACTTGGCAAATGCTTAGGGCAGTTTATTCCCAAACATGAGAGGTCTAAGCAACTACTTTTGTTAGGATAACTTTGATGAGCAGTGCTGAAGCGGAATTGAATTCGCAGCCTTTTCACACCAAAAAGAAGTGGCCATGCCGTCCGCACTAAAATGGTGTTCAAAGAAAAACAGTGTAGGAAGCACGGATTTGGGTTGTGTAACAAACATCAATAAATATTTCGTATTGTTTAACATACACCATCGCGAAATTCATTCGAGAACCATGTTTGATGGAAATCTCGAATCCAAAATGCATACGTTTTGAATTTGCTTAAAAAATCTCTGTTGATTAACTGCTCACATTCCTCACTAAAAGTACCTTGTGATTTAAAGCTTTTGATTTGCTGTGTTAAAGCCTTTCAAGATTTGATTTCACAAAAGTGAAATTTGCGGTAACAGAGGCAAAAGCTTTTCTTTGAAACATTACGAGTTCGAAACACAAATTTTGTTGAAAGTCATTATTGCTTGTGGTCTTTCAGTCTTTTTAAAGTATTACGAACTACTTCTAGCATTTAAATCAAGAATAATTTGTGCAACTGATTCTAAAAGATGAAATGCACTACCCGGCTGCAATAAAACCGAATTAGTTATCCATCCATTCACGCGAAAAGAAAAATACAAAGAGAGCCGCCACCATACTTTAGTGATAATGAGCTCTTTATTCCCGTTAGTGATTTCCACTGCCATAAAAGGCATTTAAAGGACCATGTGTGCCAATCGCATTATTCGACGATACCTTCCCAATTCGTAGCCACACGCAAACTAATCGCGTGCAGGTGTCTGCTGAAAGGCTGGGAGTACTTCTAAGCTTCGCCATCTCCTCGTCACACGTAAGGGTCTTCTCAACCACAGAAGAATATTCCAACCTCCGTGGTCTACAATGTAGTTGGCCCATATATTCACGTGAGCATCATCAATAGATCCATTTTACACACGCCGTCAATAAATTCGACCGCATTCGTACTCGAAAGTGAGATATTGTTTTTTTTTCTTTTCTTACACGGGGGAATTTTTCCTGCGGGGGAAACTTAAAATGCCAAATGAGTTCCTTCTGGAATAGCAATTTTTCTTTTTGTGAAGGCAGAATAAAAGTTCTTAGGAATATCGTGCTGTACACACACAGAGGAATGAATGATGACATCGGATTCTGCAAACTGGCAAATGACAGAAAAGTGTGTATTTACGTTTGTGATATCTTAATTGCGGTCTTTTAAGCAAAACACTTTTCCTTATAATAAGTGAGTGACCCAAGTACGGCAGTTATTATATAATCGAATGCAATGCATGATCAAAAGCTGTCCTGGAAACTAGATGATTTGTGATATTTGCAACAACAGATATGCTATGAAGAGCTAGTAACGTCTTCAAATGAACATTTTAGGAGATTTAACTTTTCCAATACATTGTACATAGTATTTACGAAATACTACATCAGACAATGAAAAGTTGGGAACATTTATGCCTAGATTGCTATGCTTAAGCTAATTAAAAACTACCATGCGTTAGGAACATTTTGAAGAAATAGCACCTTATCCATATTTCGGAGTGGGAATGGAGCCAAATTGGTATGAAAAATGGCCTAGGTATTACGCTTGAAGTGAAATTCGAATTAGAAAAACAAATATGCACATTTAAACTTTTTTGCGGGGTGCTGAGCTGCGTACCTCACTGAGATTTGAGCATAAATAATCAGAACTATTCTTACCAAGAATGTATAAAACCACCAAATTTTTCCGAATAAAAGTTTTAATCAATTTTTAACTGTTGTGTAAAGTGTATTTTGACTATCGACTGATATCGAGAAATCTTTCCTTCAAAGACACAAAACCCCTACTTTATCAACTCAGTAAAGAGAGGAGCTCATTCATAGCACAGCATGGTCCTAGACATTTGCTTTTCTAATGGTGCAGCTTTACATCGACCAGTCTGAAGAAGTGCGTTTTTCTTTGAGTAAAGTTGACAGGCAAGATGTGCTATTTTTGGCACCCCCGTGGCACCTGTGACATGAAAGATTGGAACAGCGAGTGAGCACTATTCGGAGCAGTAACTCTACCTAGTTATTAAGAATAAAATGATACATTTCAAGAAAGAATCAGCGATACCCTCGTAAAGTATTTGCAAGCGGACTCATAGTCATACTGCTACATGTAGTTGGGCCACTTTCTTCCGTACCATGTGTCGAGTAAAAGCCATCCCATAGCATACTTAAGATACTTTTTACTATCTCGTCACGCCTGACTCACAACGTTCACCAAATGGAAACCGTAGCCGCTTCAAAAATTGTTCATTTCGGTGTAAGCTTACCAAATGCTTTCTTTCAAATTCGTCAATAATCCAGTTCTAAATCAGAAAGAGCCAATAAGCCAATTTCTTGCAGTGGATGGGATAACAGTAGTGTGGTACCCCTGCCGCCATAGTTAGAGGGTAAACTGGCACAGGCACACTAGTCCCTGCAGTTTATTCGCTTTCTATGTTGCATATACGGAGCCTGTATACTACTATGGCGGACCAATAGGCGGAAGCCCAGTGTTTGGACCGTTACTGTACTTTAGTCGCCCATCCATGCGTGAGTCACCCATTGACGTGGACGTCTTGACTGGCTGACAGAATTGAGGACACATCCAAGCCGCATCTACAGTCCTGTTGTCTCACCCACATGATCAATCCGCGTGCGTACCTCCGGGCCGCATAGTGCGGAATTGGACCGTTGGCCAATAAAGATGACCAGCTGTGACATGATTTTACAGGGGGTATGCATCCGTTATGCATTGCTAGCTAAAGCTTAGCTCGAAGTACCTAGTGAATTTTACATCTTTTGTCGAATTGAAATTGACGAAGTTGTACATTTGTTCTCAGGACCATCACGGGAACAAAGTTACCACATAGATATGAGTAATGGCACAAGCTTTGGTACTAATCACATTATTTCCAAAATGTTTTCAAACATTTTTAAATTCACTGCATTAGCAGTACATTTTAGTGTACTACATTTATTATTTTTGAAAATGTACGTGGTGAAACAGGTGAGTTTTTGGACTTTTGTAGGCAAAATTATAAGACACAATCAAAGACCACTTGACTAGTATACCAAGACTCGGTTCAGTTATTGTAAGAAAACGGAAAATAAATGAAAGACACGAATTTAGTTGAAGGAAATAACTTAGTTTTTAATGAAGCATTTCTGGTCGAACATGATTTCACTAAGATAAAGTGCTTTACACCACAACAGCCCTGAAAAACGTTGATACAAATACAACACTTAAAAGTGAGGTGAATAAATTTCTCAATCATATGCACCAACGCTGGATATCAAATGTTTTGTATGAATGAATGCGAGTTTATCTGTAGTTTCGAAATTTTCCTTCAAGTGTGTTTCATGAAGCCTACTAATTAGGAACACCATTGGCATAAGAAAGTTAGGGTGGACAAAGTTCCGAAATCAAAAAAAAACAACAGTTTTAAGGCCCTTGTTGATACGCAGACGAGTTAAAATGCATGCATTTTGACTAATGTGAATCTTTTCAGATTTGAATGGTTCGTTACTTCTTGAGTGAATCAGTAACCTTTTTTAATGGAATCGAATTTTTATCAAAACAAGCTATTTATTGTGCCAGGTCCATACAACCCCTTTAGGAAAATTTGATCTAAAACTACTCAAAGGAAGTCAGACCATTCGCATCCAATCAGTAAGCTGCAATGGACAACTCTATCTTGACAAGTCTGACTAATTTAATACAATACCTGAATCACATTCAAGAACCGCATCGTATGCAGCAGTTGAAAACCATGCACAAACTTGGCGCGGGTACCAGTAAACGGTTTTCTCTCCTAAGGATTTGGGAATTACATAAACCTTTACAGACGGATCAGTTGCTGCATTCGGAATTGTCTAATGCGTCGCATCAATGTTAGTGTAAATTCGCCACTTTACTGCACCGCGACTGACCAATAAGGCAGACATGAAGTTGGGCTACCAGAATTAAATGCCCACAAAAATCGTCAATTTTCTTTAGTCAAAGGGGAGTAGGCATGATAGGCCTCTCCAGCGGAAGAGACTAACTCTATTACAAGGCTCATCTGTGTGGTTGTTGCTGTCCGGTGCATTTTCCCGCTTGAACTGAAGTACTGCGTTAAATAAACAAAGTTGAAGTGTGAGGTTAAGGTACCTTGAGTGAAGCTGTCGGTCAAGCAAAAGTGCTCGTTAGTAAGGCTAGTCTGTGGCAAAACGTGTCCTCAAACATGAAGCGGCTCTCGCTACATATATATTCATGCAATGACTGTATAGCTTTTACACAATGCTAAACGCCAGTCTTAATGCAAAATAGTTGAGCCTTAGTTTCTGTTCCATTGGACTTGATTATCAAATGTGCCCTATATCGTGTCAGTTATTGGTTATAATACAAAAAGAGAGGCAAGAACTGAAGCGTGTGTTCTTAACACTAGAAAAATCACTGGATGGTATACTTTTATCATGTAATCCACAAAAAACTTCATTTTCCGAATGAAGACAGGGGTATAATTTATCACATTCTTGTTAGCTCAAGGACTGTCACAACTTGGGCAAGGTTAGGTGCAGCCTTAAACCCCATGCTTTGCCATTGCTCCAAGATAACCAGGCTGCACAGATCGTTCTATGCCATTTTTTTAAATAATGGAAACGCATCTAATCGCTATGGTCTGCAAGTTACATGAATAACACCTGGAAACGAGGAAAAGCAAAGGAGCGATACCAAAATGTCGCCCGGTTGAAAGACACGTTCTCATCCAGTTGGTTTTGAGCTGTTCCACCCAAGAGCGCTTTTTAAAAAGCAGAACAGAAATTCAACTTCAAAGCAAGACTGTTTTTCAAGCAAAGCATTCCTTCCCTTCTTATCACGCTTTTTAAAGGGGCTAACCTTTTCACGGTGATAATGTTCAGTAATACTTAAAGAAGCTTTATTATTACGCAAAGTTAAGGTGAGTGGTGGTAATAAGTGACGCACCAAAGAGAAAGACTAAGGAGCTGAAACAATCGAAATTTTAATTAACATGTATTCAAGACAGCGGGTTTGCACAAATTTTTGTCTAATTTGCTGAGCTTATATGGAAGGAGGGGAAGTTAAACTCAGACTGCTTAGTTTATCAGAGATAACAAGTTTCAAGGAGTTGCAAAAGTACTCACTTTCAAGCACAGCCTCCTGGCATGTTCTCGAGCTCATCCCAGCATTCAATGCCGAAAAAGAATCGTCTATTTAATCTCTCCATCGGTGCGAGATGTTGCTTTGGTGCTTAATTTGCGCCAGCTTACCACAGTTGTAAACCTTGAAATACTGTACCCAACGTTTCTACAGAAAGATTTCCTCTTCATAAAATTTCACAACATTTTATTAGACTAATTGCTCAGGATCAAGCGTTCCAGGTTAATGAATGTTCACAGAAACGACTGCTGTCATGCAGGTTGAAAAGCAACAATTCCAAGATCAGCACTGACACAGAAACACGCACGTTTCCGAAACGCTTACATCATTCAATCAAATGTTTTACTGTGGACGAGCGTCCCATCACCGAGGCATATTTGTAACCTCCTCAAGTATCTGCGAGTTTTAGGCCATATGCTGTCCCATACAAGTACCATAACAGTTGCTCACCCCTCAATGGCGGATGGGCTATCCCATGATATTTGGGCCATCTATTATTGTGTAATAAAACATTTGCCTATTAATACCATGTGCAGTATGCCCACATTCGCTTCCCCTTTTATGACCGTGAAATTAAAAAGCTCTGTTTGACTTAAACGCCTCCCGTATGGACAGCCTAACACCACATTTGAACCAATGCGGTTGAGAGGCACGAAACTTCAATTAAGCACTATCACTTTTTAATGAAGTGTCTTTTTAAAAAGAGGCAACTTCTCAGTACAGCGTATGCATGTGCACTCTGATCACTCCATGAAGGCGAAAATAGGACTAAAATTCACGCAGAGGAAGTGCGCAAGGGAATAGTAGCTCATGGAGAGGAGAGATATGCACCGGAGAATCAATACGGTTTGTTCAGCATGGAAGTTACATCGGACACAATAGCACTGACAGGAGCCGTCGCTGATGTCGCTGCCGGCGGTGACACTCCAGCCGCTGCGACACTGCCACCGTCGCCGACAGTGTTGGAGGTGGAAGGAGCGATCATTTCAATGGGATCAAAGACGAAGCAGATGCCTGAGTGCACCTCGAGGACGATGAAGGTGGAGGGGAGATAGGGGCTGCCCGGTGAGGCGCAGGACACGAAGAGGCGGTTGCGACGGTCGGTGGTGTCGAAGACACGGACCACACGTGAGCGATCCAACACTTGGTGGAAACCCCCACCGACCGCACCACTGGTGTTCGCCCGGGTGATGAGACGCCAGCTACAAAGGCGATCAGAAAGACCGGCCAGCGTGCCCCCGTCTGCTGACCAGGCAAGGCACACAAACCCCGAGCCCCCACAGCCCGCTGCATTCGAGGAGATTGCGCTGCGTGCCGCAATCACGGACCGATCTCCGCCCCTGCAATTCACACATACACCCACATCCATCACAATTACCCTGCCGTCTAGATTTGCCAACATATTTACACAAACGATCTAAGGGGCACCGATAGAATAGCAAGATCATCTGCTCGTGGATAGGTCCGGTAAAATGCTGAGCTGTTATGAATATTTATTTATATGGTGAAAATGAGCATCAACTAAGAATGGTTTATTGAAATAAAGGCACAAGTTTTGAACGACAAGTTCTCTAGTCTTCAGCTAATATGATAAAATAATGTAGGTCGACGGAACGCTGCCGCTAGTACAGTCACTATTGTGCGGCACCGTTGCATAAAAACGGATGGATTCTCGAGACTGTCTGAAGCTTGGCGAGAAGAGGCCTTAAACAAAATACTGCCATTGCTTAAGGAATTAAACCCTTAATTTAGTTGTACATCCAATAAAAAGTCCGCAGTGTTATCCAGGTTAATGCACTCCGGGTATTTCGCGACTAGTCTAAGACATCAAAGTCCAATGAAGACAAAAACGAACCACACGTCTCCATAAGATATGCATCAAAGTACGCTGGATGTCACTTGATGTAGGAAATGACAGCGCAGCGCGGAGGCCGATCAAACTGGAGTAGTACAGGATCATCCAAAGATATTTCAAAAACGCAAAGTTGTCGTAAATGCGAAGAATGGTCTTACGAGGTCAGAAAAAAAAACAAAAGTAATCGAGCTCAAATCAGAACATTTTTGCGCTAAGAGAAGCAAGCATTAATTGCTCGCAAAATGGAAACACTGTAGAAATAGCAGTAGTAGCATGGATACAGAATAATAAGTTGAGGTCCAAAGGCTTCAAAAAAGTAGGGACTGTGGTACGAAAACAGCAGACAAGGATGACCTAGTGAAGTTATCAATCATTCTCCCTAAAGTCAAAACAGTAGGTGGGAATGAACTATGCCGAGTGTGTATATAACCTCGTGAAGACAATTTTGTAAATGAGCTAGGAAACAGGCAATAAAGTGTACAATTCTTACAATTTGACGAAAAAGCTAACTCCCCAGGGGTTCCATGATCAGCTAAGAAACTGCTGCTCATCAAAGCCAATAAGGAGCAAACATAAAAAGCCTGTTAAATGCCCGTTTATTTCTTGTATTTTTGTGTACGGTCATAGGCAAATCCTTTTATTATGCGTGGGATATGGCCACATAAGTTCAGCAGAGTCCATAAAGGCGTGTAAAATGGTAGGGGAATGAGATAGCATTGAGATGGGGATTACCCACAGTGTAGGATAGATGCGAAGACAGCTCAGAATAGCCGAATCATTCACAATAGCGACAGTGAGAGAAATTTTATTTAAAGTAAATTAGATCTCGAAACTTGCAACGTTCTTCTGCCACGGAGAAATGCTTATTCAAAGGCTGTGAATGCTGCCGAAATAGCTGTTTCAAGTCACGCTGGACATTAGTAGGGACTTCGCCTAGCACAAATTACTTAATTTACGAGTTTTTTATTGCAAAATAAAGAACTTTTAACGCGAATTTGAATCCGTTGCACGAATTTTAAAACAAGGATCACAAGAGTTCACTTATTATTATTATCGGCTGTTGAAAATTTGGAGTCTATATGCATATGAACACCTTGCATTACACTCGTCCAAAATTTGTCCCGATTAAATGTGAAAGTAAGCACGTCAAGACACGAATGCGGAATACATGAATCGCAAAAAAAACGCCCACTTTACTAAGGTGACATAGTACACACTGATTGTCTAAAATTTCAATCTTTATTTTGCTGCAGTATTCGCCTGAAAATATTCATGCGGTCAGTCCAGTAACACGATGAATATGGGGTGGTGACAAGTCGAATGAGAAGCGAGCACGGGGCTGAGACAATGTTGGGCCACCGTCAGAATTACCGAAAATAGCAACAAAGCAGATGGCACCAGTCACTTTTTCTACTTTAATGAGCCGCGAAGCCAGCTAACTACCTATAAAACCCTCTGTTGTGGAAAAAATGATGCACACTTCAAATCCTCCGCCAAAAAATCTTGCAGAAAATGAACTTGAGCGTCCGCGAGGTCCAATTCAGGTCCAATCAATGATCTGTTATAATTCCAAAAAATGTAAATTATTCGAATAACTGATACAAAAGAAAAACTGACACAGCAAAAACTGCGCAAAATGACAGATGGTAAGAAGGAAGGAACTGAAAGGAAGAAAAAAATTGGTAAGAACAAATACAGACGCAATATAATAGACAGCAAATTGCAAAAATATTCAGATTTGAGTTCTTTTTGGGATTTTAGGAACCACCACAGAGTGGAAGTAAATCACTGCTTAATCGGAACATAGGAATATTCCGGTTGAATAGGAAGTTCGTCGACAGCTTTGCTTACATATGGACCTTCAGAAAGATTGCACTGTGACCCCCTTACTACAACGCGGTAGTTATTTCACCCCCTCAAACCTCGATGCGAGATTTTACAATCAGTCAAAAGCTGGTCATCAAGGGAAATTTTAGCTTTGTATCTAAACTGGACGCGTAAAAATGGTGGATCTGACTTTCCAGGATCGAGAGCAACCTGTGCCACCAGCACAGCGCAGCTCCACCTTACCAAAAAAAGGGGGGCCACAAAATCTGAAATAATGGAAATTCATTAAAAATAGGCAGCTTAAGAAACAGCGTGACAACATTTTCCGAAAAAGAGGGTGCTAATCAACGACCAAGAAAACGAAAATATACTGTAAGACAAAGTATAAAGGTACACTAATACTTTCGAATTATTCCAAGTAGAATTTATCCAGGATTCACCTAGCGTACAAGAAATATAAATTTAATTGGGCGTTTTAGCACAGCTTCGATTACAACGCAGTGGGTCCCAACGGATATTAGCCCGCTTTTGTAACTTAAATCTCTTGTCAAAACGCTTTAATGTTTGGCACGCGGAGGAATGAGAAGGGCCGCTTGTTTTAGAGCCGGGGGTAACGTTGTGGCAATGATGTTTAAGCGCCTTTTCCACGTTCACTTGACCATGAACCGAAAAAAGCATTTAAAGAACATTTTACAACAAAAAAGACATGAATTCCAAGTGTTATAAGCCAAAGAATTTTACATGAAAATTGTGCACCCTTTAAAAATAAGCACAGATTTTTGAGTAATTCGATTCAGATTTGACTTGGTTCTTGAGCAGTCTCAGCATCGAACTATCACTTCGGAAAAGAATTTAGTCAAACTGTTGTTAGTTAAAGAAAAATGGCAGCGAAAAACTACGCCAGATTTGAAATGATTTACGTGAAAATTTGAGCAAAGATAAAAAAACCACTAACCGATGGGAATAGATACTAGGCTCAAGTAAATGGACGGAAAAGCAAAAAAGCATACTGTAGACCCTTTTCACACTTTGAAAGTCATAATAGAATAGAAGAAATTAATGATTTAGCTGGTTTTTAAAAAGCTTAATTAGATGCTGAAGCCAGCTTCAAATACATAACAGCAATTTTTAAGTAGCTATTAATCTCGCCTCCAGTAATACCAATAATAACTAGGAAGATTTCTATTCGAGACACAAAATCCTCTCTTTAACACAGAGCATTAAAATAAATTTTACATTTCAGATAGTTACATTAAACGTGATAAATTAAAAACCATTCACCAAAAAAGCCTCCAGCTCCCATCAATTCTCACAAATACAAGTGGTGTTATCTTTAACAAGAGCTACTTTACAGGCCGAGATAATACTTACTTGGGAGTGGTGAGGCGCCAGACGCGGAGGTTGCCAGCAGCGTCGCCAGAGGCCAGCAGTACCTCAGTGCCCATCTCCGTGGTGGTGGCCACAGGACGGAACTTCACGCAACGCACCGTCAACGGCTTGTGAGAACCTTCAAACACCTTCCGTTCCGTGCAGAGACACCATACCTGGGAGAGATTACAGACAGAGGACAAGTCAGTGAAATAATTGTAATTGAAACTCGGACTTGTCAATATACGATCTGCCGATACAGGGGAGTCTAAATAATCCAGAATCTTTGAATGCAATTTATTTACGCAAAGGCCAGATTAGTCGTTGCATCATCGCACTGCCTGTTCACAACCGATTTGCCTAAAGACTGTATGCCTACACATCTGTGCGAGTTCTGCAGAAGCAAGGAAGGCGCTTAAGTTGGAATACTTATCTTAAGTGCGTCGATTTGCTCAATCACCAGTTGATTTATTCATAAAACAATTGAATTAATTAATAAAAATGTTTTCTGTGTCCTCCAAGACACGAAATGCTAAAAACATGATTTTTAACATCATCTCTCAATTAAACTTTACTGCCCCAAATATGAAGATGCACAGGAGGCGAAATTGGGGATGGAAAAGAGACAGAGACTTAAAGAGGATGAGGTTATCAAACAGAATTATGTTTAATAACGTAAAAACGATCCCAAGTGTATAGTGCATTAGCATGTTTTGACGAAGATGAGTGTGAAGTGCATGTGTATGGGCACCCATTCACATCCAACAATTGCACTAATTAGGAAGAAAAAGTGTTCAGAATACGATAATAGAGATGATCTTTTTAGGTAAAAGGACTATTTTCTTTGGCGAGAGAGAAAAACAATCAAACTATAAAGGGGAAATCTGTCCTGTCTGAAATGAAAAAGATACCATGTTATCATAAAAGCAGGAGTCGATTGGCTATAAAAGTTTACTTGTCAACTTGCCTATTTGTTTTTAAAATAGAAATAATAAAGAGATGGAAAGTTACAATAAAAAGACACTCTTTTCATCAACTATAGTAAAATATTGTACCACTGCTTACTGATGATATTTTAACTACATTAACATGGAGACCTAGATTTAGATGCGCGCTTATTTTAAGGGTCACCAATAGCGATTCCAAATCATAGCAACCAGTTAATGTTCTTGATATTTGCACTAGCACAGCTACAACACTGTCAGCGTATGAAATTGTGGAGCAGAAACTTCTAGGGTAAAGGCTAATTGAAGGAATACCGTTCCAGACATCCATAAACGGGAACGCTTGCCGTTCTATAGTGTGCATTTTTATCACAAGAATCCTGCTCTTTCCTCACACATAAAAGGCAAATAAATCAACGAGACTGTGTCGGTTGTTTTTAAGGTCCGTCATGAAAATCATCGGAACTGCAGCACAACAATTTGCCCATTATCTACATAAGAAAGAATCCTTTTTGACTTTTAAAAGCCCGGAAAATCCAAGTGACCCCATTAGCACAGGCACTACTAAACTTCCGCATGGAAAACTACGATAAACCAATATTAATGAGGTGCGTGGACCCATTGTCTTCACAGGTATCGTTCACAAACCTATAAGGCCAGTTAATGTTAAATGCAATAGCCCAAATACAGACAAAAAATTTCATAATTTTTGAATGAAAAGGGATTAGTGTTCATGGGTAGACAGAAGGACCCATGAGATACGGAGGCAGGCCTGATTAGTACAATAGATTCGAGTTGCGGTAATGGAGTTATTTCACAGCTGGAAAGTTCCACGGAAAAATAAGTGAGCGACTTTGCTGCATGACCGGAAGAAAATATGGGTCGGATCGGCGGAGGTAAAATTATAATACTAGTGACAGGAGGCCTACGTGTACCAACATTTTGTGCGAGAACACACTCCACTTCGTGTTAATTTAAGCCAGCCATGTTAGGTGCGACTTGAATCAGGCGTGTAAAGTAGAAGGACGCTATCTCGGCTCTAATCTATCCTGCAGCAATGAGCCAAAGTAGCAAACCATGGCGACAAAAAGTTGAGTGAGGATGAGAGCAGCTCATCCAAGGCCCGTTAAATCGCTACCCAACTAACGATTAGGCCGGACAGATTAAGGCAAAATATCTGTACCATTGCTCAACCAGACGTGTCTGCTACGCCGCCAAAAAAAACTTCATTTCACATTTATTTCTATGAGGCTGAAAAGCGCCACAATTTCGAGTCGGAAGCGGACGATGCAGCAGTTGAAATGGTTAAAGGAGATAATAAAAGAGAAGACAATAAAATGAGAAATGGTTTAATGAAGTCTGCTCTACCCTTGCGCTGATTCAATTCATGAACAAACTGTAGACATGAGATCATAGATGGGGGATTATTGAGGTTTACCTCACCTCACTAAAGGTCAATCAGGTAAACAAGTGTGGGGAGAAATTCGCAGCATGATACCGAGAAAAGGGATGAAATTTATTTAACACTCTTCTTTAAATATAGAGACAAGAAATCAGTATATAATTGCTGTTTCCAGACATTGTCACTTGTGGGAGTCGTTAAGGTTCGATTGTTACTCAGTTGCATAAATATAAACTGACAATGGAGTTTCGAGAGAGTGGGTTAACCGGTTTTCAGAACGTGACAGGTACTACTTCAACAGGAGATAATGGCTTAATCACACACTAGGCCAGTCAATAAGGAAATGGGCTTAAACGTCGCTGCAGCAGAAGGAAGACTACAGGAGTTTCGCGAAGTGGTTGATATAAATTGGAGTATTTATGACTCAAAACCGATAATATTCTCACTTTGCCAATCATTTTTAGAAACTGCTAAACTCATGGCAACGATTCAGAGGACTTTTCATTCACAGTGGAAATATGCAGCGAGGCACAGTCAAGTTGATTTCGAAGTGCATTTGAAGTAAAGCATATTCAATTCGCAACAATGCACACAAGAGATGAACCTATTCTCTTTCGAGGTTGTTTTATTGCCAGAATAGGGGGGATCAAGTCCGTTACCCAGATCCCCGCCGACACTCATCGCTATTGTTGTGATACAAACTGCGGATAATTGTTCAGCCTGATAGACATAACAAAAAAATTGAGTAGTTTGATGGGAAGATCTTCAACGAAATAGTTGAAATGCGTGACCTATACTTCCACTTCAGTTGGTTCATGGACCAGATATTCTGGGAACGCTCAACGGCATCACAAGAGGAACTAAAGGAAATCTCACCTCCGACGCTCTTTTAATCTTGACGATGCAATTTCACCTTCATTAAAACTAAGACAATGATGTGATCACCTGCTAAACTACAATGTTTGGTACTTACAGCCACAGTAATGTCCTTTTAGTGTTCTGCACAGAATCTCCATTCTGTATTCCCTCAAAAGTAGGAGAAATTCCGACTTATTTTCACTAATAAAACTAAAACTTTTAAAACCAGATTTTAAATTATGTAAAATTTGGGAAAATGACATTCAGGTAGAGATTAGTTTATGACTTTAGGGTTACCAGTGGTCCAACTTGCATCAGAAGCTGCAAGGGTATTCATAGCTGACATGTTCAATCAAATAAACTTTACACCAAATAGCTATCCACTCGAAATTGTCATTGCTTTTGCGATAGGCATAAATTCTTACCAGATAAGTTACATGATAGTGTACTTGTGAGCGGAAATGAGCAGAATTCCCAAACTACTCAACGTGTAATGCGAGTAGAAATGGGATATTTCCCATCTTGCAGCGAATGTGTGGGTAGTAGAGAAGTCATGTATGCATGAAAAATGGCTTCAACCTACAAAGTAGGTAGTTTAGCTATTTAAATTCCATTTCGGAGCCCTGAAATCATTTTGCTTGGATTCGAAAAACACTAGCAAAAGAAAATCACGTGATTGATATAGAATCATGTCAATCCACGTGAGTGAGTGCTAAAATAGAGTGGATAATTAATCTGCAATTTAGCAGCCTACAGAGGAAAGACAAAGTAGCAAGAATAATGGCAGATCTCAACTGTACAAAATCAGCGGATAAGGCATGTGGTAAAAATCTTGTGCATGCAACTCTGAAAAAAGGATAAAATCAGGCACTTATGACATTGAACGCAGGAAACCACAAGGAGGGACTTTAAAAATCGCAGACAAATAATGCATTTTTGGGTGAGGTGAGACTGATTAGTTGGGATGAATGTCTGGTTGTGTGCATTAAAAAGCCTATGATCGAGTGAACTCGTTTTGCCCAAGTAATTCCCTTATCAAGATAATGTAGCAAAATAGGTTGGAAATGGATGTGGCAAAAGGGCATTCTATTAACTAAATCACTAATGACGGGAATTCCTAATGGGTGTGAATCCCGAGTCCCCCAAATGAGTTTGAGAATTCACCTGCAGCTGAACAAAGTAGCAAAATGCATTCTTATTTTTATGGTTTCAGCCTCCATGGTTTAATGACCTGAATCTAACCTGGAGATCTATAGGTCCAAACTGAGAAGGTTCATCGAATCAAAGATGCTTAAAGCTGAAAAATGGTCGAGGATAATCCATAAGCAGTCAAGACGACATGCTTTCCAAAACTCAGAGATTTATCAATCATTGTGTTTGCCTTACCCGTATGACGATGAACATTTCAAACATTCCAAATCATTCTAACAGAAGAGAGTAAGGAGAGCATGCCAAACATCAGCCTAAGCATAAAAAAGGGCTTATTATTCAAAATCACAGGTGCAACTTGAACAAAAAAATAAAAGATTCGAAAGCATATGAACCAAAGTTTATTCCAAAGTACCATCAGTCAAGAAAAAGAAAACTTATTCTAAAAAAATCAAAAAGCTATTCCTTTCAGGCTTTGTTGTAATAGAATAATTGCCATTTTATTTTTCATTTTTATGCGATTTATACTTCACGCTGGTAGCGTAGGCTCCCCCCACACCATCTAAGTCGACAGCTTCCATATCATTGTCTACGAATCTAGTAAAGCTAGTTCTTGGCGCGTATGCTTCGTAACGTTTTCGGGCACAACTTGAGTGATTCAGCATTTCTTTCGCGGGGTTGTAAGCAAAGAAAATTAAAGTATTGAACCGAACTGTATTGGAGGAGTGGTTTTAGGCATGATAAAACAAAAATCTCGATTATTATTAAGAGCACTGACATATTTGAAATGCCTTTGGTGAATAAGTTCCCGGATGAGCTAGTTTGAATAGAACGCATAGAAAAGAAATAACAATCATTCTCTCATACTGACACCTAGCTATTCAATAGAGCGAGTCTATGTAACTTTGGGCCACCAATAACTAATGAAACTGATACATTTAGATAGTGTGAAAAAATAATCGGATGGATAAGCACTGAATGCATATTTTTCCAATTCTTAAGTGGAAAATAAGATTAAAACAGGAAGATATGCACGAAATGTCCAAAAACTTACCAAAAAAAAGTACACTTGTGCATTCTTCCAACCCAGAAACAGTAACTAAACACTCATGAAAATATTTATTATGTTTAGGGAAAATCCCTTAGATGTATAGTAATACGCGCGGTAAGCAAGCGTACCTCAAAATTGAACCTGTTTAGCTTAAATTAAAAACATGGTCAAATTAAATGAGGGAAGTGATGGCAAAATGACAGCTGAATAAGTCCACTTTCCCGAACTTCACGAACAGTTAACGAAGATGTCAAACCTAATATACACGAAACACCCAACAAACCAGAGGAATAAATAATGATCTCCCATTTACCAGGGCCATTCATGGTAGAAAATGATAAGTATGGGAAAAAGGCGTCCAGATGTTCAAAGGAACACAAATGAAGTCCGAAATCGGATAGTGAAAGTTGAGTTCGAGAAACTCACACAAACAGTCCCATCAGTGGCAGCAATAGCTATCCAGCGACCGTCGGGATCGACGTCGGCATCGGTGATTTCGGCAGATTTGTGGGCGACGAGGTCGAGGGCCCACTGGTCGTCGGCAAGGCTACGGCCGCAGACGAGACCGTCGCGGCCGGCGGAGAGCCACGCGAGTCGGGCGCGCCACTCAGTGCACTTTTGAAGGAGTTCAAGGTTAGCGAAGAAGCGGAACCACACCACCGGCTGGTTTGTCGCCTCAGCCTCAACAAAGGGAAGCGGACTGAAGGTGGGCGTGGAGATGGACGGAACAGCAGACGTGGACACCGGTAAGTGCATCCGTACCCATTGTTTCATAGGAACCACCTTGGCGTGTGCAATTCGATCCCTCTCCTCTCCTTCCGGTGCAATCGCGTGCATCACCTCCCACACCTAAAATAATTGAAAGGAGGATGCTTTTTATGAAAGCGTCAACTCATCCCGGCAATGCACTAGTAGAGAATCCCAGACTGATTGTGAAAGTTCCAGTTACAAAGCAGACAAACAATTGGTAGAAGAACTGAGAATATCATTATATCGGGAAAGGCTGATTCATGATCGGGATGTACCAATGCCAGTCAGATTGGATACATCTCTTATAAAGTATGTAAAGATGCGGTGACTTGCTCCGGAGTACAAAAAGGAGAGTTGCAATAATGCTGATTCATAAGCAGGGCATTGTAACATTGTTTTCAAGTTAAAAAAGGTGCGTAATAGATGCCTTGACTCTGTTGTAATAAAACATGAGCAATGCTATGCGAAACCCGCACAGAATTTAAAGTGAAAAGCTAGATAGTAGGTTGCAAACTTTTTTGCTTGAATAGTGTTTTGTAAGATCGGGACAATAAGGGGGATAATGTGGGCAGTAAGGGTGAACACTAAGCTCGTTTAACATGTGACTGTAATTGTGTGTAACAGCAAATGCAATTTAAACGCACACAGTATGATGATATTTACACTTTTGAATTTCGTTATGCAAGAACAGTAATTGAAACCGGTATGGTAATGTAAATTTCTTCGTTTCAAACGCAACACAAAAGCATTGTTTCAGACTTTGTTTTATGTGCAAGTTACGGAAATTTCTTTTAACGCCTAAGGAGAAGCGGGGTACGACCAAGGTGGCGTTCGCTTAACACATGGATACTGTCAGCAAGATGGAAGGTTTTTGCAACTTTATTAGGCATAAAAGGTTTCTCTGCGTCCTTAATACGACTCTAACATGTTTGGTACCAGCTTCCCATACGATTTCTCTAATGAACAATAAAATAATCAAAAAACGAAATTGATAAAGAAACAATGGAAATTTCTTAATTAACACAATATTTCAACTACAGTCGCATCTATTTTAAGCCATTTAGTTCACTTCCAAGCGAATTTCAACAACCACTCAAACCACTACGGGGATACTTCAAAAGAAAATAATTTCGAAACATTTATAGACATTAACAAGGTTTGTTTGCTTCCGAATGCATGAAAATGATGAGCTCAATGGGAAACGCCAAGAAATTCTTTGAAGTATTCAGCCAAAACACAAGAACGGCCAGGAAGTAAGAATAGTAACAAAGTTTCGGCCTGATTAACTGGTATATATCCTGGAGAGCAAAACTAGGGCATAACGGAGCAGACGATGGATCTCGTGCTTTGCAGAAAAAGATGAAAAATTGCACTGAAGTCGACATTTTTGAAATGAATGTGCAAAAATGTAGCAGAAAAAAATTCTGGACAATTTTTTAACACTCATTACCATCATGAAGTTGAAAGCCAGAGGGACAAAGAGAAGGAGCTGATTAAATGGGCTTTTTGAGAATTGGGAGTCACGATTTCAAAAAGAAGTTAGTCGAAATTGGTGTGAGTTAACTTGGTAATACAAATAAAGCGGCACTAAGCGGAGGAAATAGCACACGCGTTTTGGAAAATGCTCCCCATTTTAATATCTATCGTTAACACATTAATGTTGGTATAACTTTGGTTAATGAAACCTCATTGTGTGAACTGGTTCGGCCCATAAGAACCCGCTGTACTCGAGCTATACTGTTCGTCAAAATTGGATTGAATTCACACTTTGTGAAGCAGAGAGTAGCCCCAGATGATGCGAATTACAGTCAGGCAAGTGATTACCCACCCTACCCCTAATGAGATCAGGGAAAAAGGGTAATAGAAATGATCCTCAGCCTTGGCGATTTACGAATAGAAAGACTTGTTTGCAGAGCACTTTTTGATCATAGGGATACATTATTTAGTTTCTTTTCTTTTAACGTGGGGCATGCAAACATGCTAGAAGATCAAGTAAATGACACAAAACCTTCACCAGGTATCCGGGACCACACCGGTACTTAATGATGTACTTGGCAGAGGAAAAGTAGCTATCTCAAATCTGTGGTAAATGCTTGGATTTATCAAAAGGTGGTATGAGATAATAGCATGAAGAGAGCGGTAGAAGCACTAGAACCTGGTTTTGGGCGACTTGGACAGTGACTCCGGAACGAAAGCATGCAGGGAGTAGGGTGCACTCAATGCATAAGTGGCATTTCATGCAACTTCCGTGTAACAGCGGGAAAACAAAGGGGAATGTGTGCAACCGATAAACTTGCAGTGATTCCCACTTTCCCGGTCGCTGCTGAGACGAGAGAGCAAGGCGCAGCATTGGAAGCTAACTAAATCCAGTGCGATTAAGTAAAAAATTTTACCGGATGGGAACAAAGTATTTGCCTCTATCCATCAAGGGTAATTACAATCTCGTAAGCAGGTGTGAAACGCAGTTCTACACTTAAGCGAAGGTGGCGTGAACAAGGAAGACCGGGAGTCTTCGGGAGGGTTAAATAATTACCAATTGAATTGAGAATGCTGCCAAGGCAAACTATGCTAACGATAATTGGGCTAGCTAAATCACAAATAAGAAAATCTACTTCGTCTCTGGATATAACCTCTTTTCCATACAAAAGCTCAAGAATTAGAAGTATCAGTCTTGTAAGTGCATGATTGGGTTTGGGTGCAAGGCTAATTGAACATGACCTGAGTAATAAATAGCCTTTGAGAAAAGAGGATGATTTGATATTGTGATGAGGACAGCAAGAACTAATTTCGCTTATTATGGAACTTAGCATTAACTTAAATTGCTAAAAAAACACAAAAGGCATTAAAATCTTGTAAACAAGCCTTCAAAATAAATCAAGCACCTAACACAGATGAAACATTTAAAAATTCCAGGGGGTAGTTGAAAAATGACTGCGGCCTCCAGTGAAGGATACATTAATGCCTGATTTAGGGAAGCATGTAAAGGGAACAAGCCCGTCAAAATGTGCATCAATCAAAAAGTAGTAGGATTTTGGCACTCATCAGGATTGCAACAAGGAATGGCTTAGCTTGCAGATGGCCCAACACGCGAAGCGAGATGACGAAAACGGCTCAATCGTCCAAAATTTCACCCGTCATCACATCACACAAAAGGTATTTTTTATTTGGATATTGAATTGTTAAAATACACGCTCCGATATTTTATTTGATATACAGCTACTCTACTGTGCCATGATGAAATAAGCGCTCAACGCAGAAGATAGCAAAGCTTTCAGAATCACGATAATGTGTTATTAGTTGGAAAACGTTTACAAAGCCAAAAAAACAAAGCAATGGGAATAAATTTAAATTTCGATATTGTCGATAACTCAGAAACAGAAATTTCCTCATATACTTTTCTCGCTGATGGGAGAACGGTTGATCTAAAGACAGTGTCGATTCCGACTCAATTGTAAGGATAAATTTTTATTTGAGAAAAGCTCGAACTCGGGTCCCCTAGGTTATCAGGATGAGTACTGATAGTCCCCTAAGGATCAGCGAAGCCGCGATCTGATAATTGGCGAAATATTTGGTTTTGTATTCCAATTCCTAACATTAGATATGTGTTATCAATTTCTTGAGCATCGGTAATAGCAAGTAGGGTCAAATAGGTGGAACCTACGTGCACAGTGCCACCAGCAGTAGCGACAGCAACCACGAGTTCAAGCTCTGGCTCCTCAAAGTCGACAGGAGGTGTCCACAGAGAGAGATGGGTGATTTTTACCGCCGTGGAGACGATATCGAGGGGCAGATCGCGGCTGGCGACACGCGGGCGGCTGTTGCCTCGGCCGCAGTCGCCACCGCCAGCCTCAGAAAGACTATTCCTCGAGGAAACCGAGAAGTTTCGATAGGGCTTGAAACCACGCAGTGGGTCCTTGGGACAGTTCATTTGCAGAACCTGCCACACATACACACATGTTAAGGGTAGGGAGTTAACCCTTAAATTACTTTTAAAATCGTAAGTACTCCTTACTTTCCTGAATAGAGATCGCTTGAAGGGAAAAGCCAGTCACTCAAAGGTTGTGACTCAAAGTATTTAGCGTTGATTAAAGTGTGAAAATAATTTACCTGAATTAAAAAGATGAGGATTGTTGTTCTCATGAAGGCTTCAATAACATCAAAATTCGCTTCCTGAAGTCGGCGAACCAATGATAAAATTTCACAAAAATTTAAATCAAGGCATGATATTCATTACCTGGGTGCGAATGACAAGCCTATCAGATTTGTAAATTGATTTGTGAATAAACATTAATCAGGATTTTGCTTAAAGTGATTAATATTATATACTTGTCAAATGTGACATGCTTCTTTCAAGGAACTGTTGGTATTCACTGCAGCATAAGAATGTGCAGTCATCAGATCGAGTAGTTGCACTTGAAGGTGTGACAACGACCACTAAAAATTGAATTTAAAATGACAACGCGGACAAATTTGGTCAAATAGTTGATGTATTTCTTGGTATTGAAAATTAAGTATGCCGATTGAACACAGGCGAATCCGGTATTTGAGTAAGCCAAGAACCAGCGATACAGATTATGGAGGAGGACTGAATTACCTGAACAGTGCCATTCTCGAATCCCACGACAAGCAGCCGCATGTCATTGGAAAAGGCAGCACAAGAGGGCACAGGGCTGTGTTTGACGATGCGGTTAACTGCCTGGAAGGCACTGGTGGTGGTGACAGCGGTTGCAGCGGCAGCCTGCTCGCCCGAGCCCGTCGCAACGACAGGGGGGAGAAGCTGATTTTGGACGGGACGTCGTCGATGACATGTGAGCGACAATTCCACGCAATGGAAAGACTGGCAGTCACCCTCTATGCCCAGGCCAGTGGCTTGAGCCGATCGAAACAGCAGCTGCGGGATAAAAGAGATGATCACCCTATGTTTGATTTCTCAATTCCTAGGCATTATTTCCATGCAAGGGACCTGTCCACTTACTAAGGTGGACCCACTCCTCTACTGAAAAATAAACTACGGATTCTCTGATTCAGATGAAAATAAACCACCGAAATAATGGGGTGCCTTGATAACACTGCACAAATAAACGTTGGTTCGTGGTGAATAAACGACGATTACAGGAGAGTGGGAACAAATCACAGCAGGTGTCAAAGAGGATGAAAACGGGTAAACCTAGAAGCATCACTAAACGTTTGACCTTAAATGAATAATGTACCCTGCAGACTGAACTTAATTGATACGTCGCCATGAATTAAATTATTTAACTGCGCAGGGAAGCCTAAGCAAAAATAAGCCCGGAGAGCTGCCAACACGAAGAAAATAACCCCAGGAATTATTTAGTTGATATCATGCAAGTAGTCGGAGCTGCGCTGTGTATTTTCGAGGTAAAAGCAGTCAACTGAGAATGCCATGACATTTGCAATCTAAAGGAAAAACTTTTGAATATTTAGATGGTTACATAAAGATAAAACAGGTTTGAAGGTTTCGCCATCAGGGAAAGACGTACGTGAAGGAGAATTTTGACTAAGTGAATCATCTTCAAAAAGGAAAAAAAAATCAAATACTTAGACAGAAAAAAATTAAAAAAATGCATAAAGAAAAGTATTTGGGAAGGTGAAATTCCTGAAATATAAAAGTGGATACAATAAATGGAGTAGTGCCAGTTCAAATAATTAGGGGAAAATTCCACAAAAAATTAACCATTAAGGGAGTTTTACAAGAGCGTGCATAACTCCCACTATTGCAAGTAATTTGAAAAAAAATGCAACGAAATAATAAGATTCACTTGCTACTTTTACAGAAAAAAGTATACACACAGTTGGGAGATAAAAGCAGAAAGAAGGTCTCTTGAGTGGTGTCACTTACAAACTGGAAGGGCAAATCACAGTGAGTAGTACACATCAAGAATAACTACAAAATCAAAACCGTTCAATTTCTATCCCCATGATATTTTGTGTGCAACCTAAATAGACTGCATAACGGACATGGTCTAGTGACCAATTCAAAAAATTGGCTTTAAGGTCTCGAGGGGCTTCTAAAGACTTCCATTTATTGGGATAGTCGTCAAGACACCAAATCCACGCGTTTTTATGATTCACGGCGATTCCAAACAATTGGAAGCTCAGCTACAAAAAAAGGACTAGGAGATCGGAAAGCTGTCCTGATTTAACACTTTTGCTACCAGTGTCATAAATGAAAAACTCAGATTTTATAACCATTTTGTCACAAATATGCAATATGTTATTTATCAGTTTTTGACAATTGGTTGCCAGAATTCGTATTGCAACGGGTTTAGCTGATTTTAAAAGAGGAAAATAGTCCTAATTCGAAGATACATATATTTTCCTTTTTTAGCAGCAGTAACATTAGAGATAATAAAAATCTGAAGCAAGATAGTTGATTTTCTTCTGGGACCCTAATCGACCCTAAGGTTTGGTTTTGAAAAAGTTAAGGGAGCAAAAATATGGAAAATTAGCACAAATTTTGTCTTGCCCTCTGCTGTCGCTGTTGTTTTGATCAAAACAATTCAGCAAGGGAAAGAATCGAACTGATTTATTAAATTCGGCATTTGGGGTGGAAACTATGATTGATCACATTAGACACACGTATAAGCATGAGAATTTTTCAAATTACGATTAGTAAAATACCTGATTTTATTAGATGATTTACATGTTTGTGATAATTTTTTAAAGAAAGTTTGATTAAAATTGTCAGCAGGAAAATTACGAGTGAATTAGGAAGTAAATGAGGGTGATTTTTATGGTCGCTGATTTGATAACCTATTTTTAAGGAATTGTACACAAACAATAATAAATTTGATGCCAATTTGTTTTTGAATGCCATCCACGATGAACATGCGGCTTTAGATCCATAATTATTATAGGGCAAAGATAAGATTATTAAGAAAAAACAGGGGATACTTTTAACTAATACGAGCTCTGAAAATGACGCGGCAGGATACTAAGGCATTTCAGGAGCAAGCAATCACTCCCCCTCTTCCTTGTTCCCCATAACAACACATATCATAAATGAAAGAGGAAGATAACAGTGGAGAGAAGTTAGTACATTTGCTCTCTTTTGCCATTCTCCAAGCACTGCTGGGATTGTGGATTTGAAAATGGTGCATAAAACAGCAGGGAATGATTTAACAAAGCTAAATAAATATATTTTCATCAATTGCAACGCTAAAATTTCAAAACATGATGTTTTGACATTTAGGCGGAAGGAGCAGCTATGAAATCCGCATACCTAGAGAGAGGAATGCTTGCCAAATCTAGATTATTTATGTCGGTAAAAGTACAGGTAGAAATTAAGTGATGGGACAAAAGTGATTAGACGTTGAAGAGGGCACTTCAAACATGAAAATTTATGGATCAGTGAATTAATATCGATGTTTTTTTTGGGGGGTTTCGAGAGAAGCGAGAAAATTATCAGTTGACATAATTCACTTGGAGGCGATGATGAAAAGAACGATTCGATCTTGCCTGTCTGCGCTGTTAAAACCTTTGTTTAGTGATCCAATTGCATCACGTTAAAGAATTACTCGATTATAAACCATGCCCAATAAGAAGACAAATTACGTCTGTTAAAGCTAAACTATAGAAATTTCAGCGCTTTTGTTAACAGATCTTTCCAATAAAATATTACTGCATAAATAAACCAATTTTACCACAATTTCATTTAAAAACAAAAAGCCACGAATTTGAAATCTCAGTATACTTTTGACAACGACAAATTCATTATGAAATGAACTGATAAAAGAAGGGATTGCAACATTTCCATTTAAAATTACTCAAGATGAATGGTGAAATAAAGGACACAATTGAAGAAGAGGAAAAAAGAAGGAAATGATTAGGAAAAGAGGAAGAACAATAAGATTGTGGTGTAACAATTCAGATACTTGGTGAAGAATCGACGCCTAAGCTCAGCTACAAAACATGGAGGGGGAACGTGGGAAGTTAGTTCAAATGATGACAGGAATTTTAGTAAGCAGTAAGACAAGGAAAGCAGAAGGCAAAAGCCACGAGAAAGGAATAGAGATAGTAAGGGAAGCTTAAGTTTGTCAGGGCGTTGGACAATCAAATGTCAAAAAGGGGAGGTAAGAAAAGTGTAACCCACGATTTGGACCCACAGAAGCAGTGCATTGTTGAAAGTTGAACAATAATTGTGCCAACGGAAAGGGAAATTACAAAATCACCAACTCGTCGATGAATGACTTGTGGAGTAAAGTTGAGAAACTCAGCACCATCTCGCTTTAGGGTGAAATTACACTCTTCTTCGCATGAAAACTAGCTCAAGTACTGGAATAAAAACAGAAAAAGCTCTCACATCAAAGCAAGTAAAATTTGTCAGTTTGGCAGACCGCCACCACCACTACTTAAAAGCCATGAAGGTGATTGAAACTCATCAAATTTTTAACAGAAAATATTCCCACCCTTTAACAACTTGCTCTTGGAAGCCAATGCCAAAAGTAATCCCCAAAAAGCATGAATTAAGTTCAAGGCCGTTGTTGATTATGATTATATGATGCGAAAATAATATTTACATATTTAAGCTTTAACTGTTTAAAAAAATCTGATCTTTCCGCAACCAAATTTGGATTTAGGTAATGAGGTGGAAAGGAGCATTAAAAGCCATTTATTCGCTATCCTCAAGACACCTCTAAGCAGTATCTGTCTACTGGGGAAAAAAAATATACCTTAGTCCATTCCTCATCACCTTTATATTGCCCAGATAAAATTAGAAAAGCCAAAGCGCAAATACTTTTATCACCATTAGAATTCAGGACGGTTAGAGCATCATGGAGTGTCACGTAGGAAATGAGTAGAGGAAAGCCTCAACCAAAACATACACACAACCATACTTCGAGCAACAAGAAATAGGTGTAGGGTTGGCTGACACCGGAGAGGGGTAACCCAGAGTCATATGACTACACGAATATGGTAGCTTAAGCACAAAAAACGATCAAGCGCTATGGAGGCAGATGTGACAAAGTTTCGGGGTGATTAATTCTTGCAACATATTTACGAACTTCGGGTGAACGCGTAAGGATTCCAAGGAAAAAAGCACAGCTAAGCTTTCGTTCAAGGTAAGGAAGCTACCACGAAGACCACAAAGTCTGTCACATCAAGAGAAAGGAAAATTATAAACGGAACCAGATTTCGCGCCGAGTAGGCTAGCACAATATTTTGAGGATGAGTGCAGAGGCTGACCTGGAGACTGCAACTGGCCTTGATACGTCCGATGGCATAGAACTCGCCCCGTACTCCAAAGACTACACTGTAGACGTCAGCCCACAGGGGGAAGGGCTGTTCACGCACGAATGCCTCCACGTTCACCGACTGCTCGAGCCAGCCACGCCGCTGACGCGAGGGGGAACACTCACCCGAAAGAATCGGTGACATATTCTAAACAACAGTAATAACCAAATAATAAAAAATGATTGCGGGACACATTAATTCTCGGAGTTGGGGAAATGTAGTGTCTTAGCATAATACTAATTGGATTCATCGGCATATACTTCCAATGAGAAGGTAATCAATGAGTTTGGAACAGATTGCGTAAGTTTCAAATTCACCTGTGTATGGTTCAATGAGCAGACTTCACTAAACATTACTTTCTAGATTTGAGTGTTTAAAGTTACATTGAAGCATCCTAAACTCCCAGTAGTAATGTAGCCTTAAGATGGGCAATATTATAAGAAAACGCGCAAAAGGCTGATAACCAGTAAGACGGGGAATAAATGAACAGACATCACAAAAATGACCATGGTTTATCAATTCGCTCTCATTTACTTTGTTAGACACAAGTATAGGGAGCCACACAGGTCGACCCTTGCAGTATTTTACTCACAAGAAAAATAAACCGGAGTGGATAGCCACATCTTTAGAATCTGTAGTATATTCATCAGGATACACCATGCCGAAGGATTTAAACACGATTTAGCCACCGTATTAAAAAAGTTTAGGAGCATATAAACATGCGCTTATTAAAACAAGAGATTGCACCGATTCCCGTTATTAATTGTTGTGATATTGGCATCGCGTGGTCAAATGAAATATGTTTTTTGGTGGAGTGATCCAAGTATTCGTAATTCTTAATTAAACTGAGGTGTTCAAGCACTCCGTTGATATTGCAGTGCTCCAGCCATCCTCGATACGTTAGTACAGAAGAGCTGGAGGTGTGAATGACCTGACCGAAAGCATTAGCAACCGGCGCAAAGAACAACATGAAAAACTATCCATATTTTCATACATATGACCATGGAGATATTGATATACATTAGTCTAAAATCAAGCATTACGCGTATTAAGCTAGCCGCGGTTAGATATGCGCGATATTTTAAGCAATGTGATTAATCATTTTGCCGAAAGCGTGAATGTGGTCGTCCCATATATCATGAGTGACAACGGTTATCAGTTAGTGAAAGTAAAATACATGCTAAATAAAAATCTTCTGCCCATTGCTGGAGCTTAGTTCTCGAAAGTACAAGGTTTATAGAGCTCAGTAGGTTAGAGCTGCTCTAGCATTAGAGGTAAAGCTTCATGGATTGTACCATGAGCAAAAAAGCAGAACAAGTGCTGTGTACTTAAGAATACCGTACGAAGAAAACATGTGAGACGTGGGGCCAGTAATCGTGTTATCGCTTACAAATGCCATGTTACCACGGCGATAAAAAAAAACTGGCTTTGGTGGTTGTATTCGTTGGAGATCCTGACAGAAAACGAGCTAAATACAATCTGCCATTTCACGTCGGTCCAAATGATATTGTACACCAAACTGGGATTCGAGATTGATTGCTAAAATCATTATGCTGAACCGATCGTGGCTGTATGTCGTTGTAGCGATTTGCGCAACCAGCAAGTATGAGATGCTTAAAAAAGTTTGGCAATAATTTTACTAAGCCAATGAAGGTAAATGATAATAAGTATCAAAAACTATTTATCAGAATACGCATTTGACATAAAGCACTGTTCACGCCTGAAGACAACGCCTCTCCAGCGTACGAGCATTTTCAAAGTCCAATAGGTCAAAAACTTGCCAAATATATTAATTGAAAACCCAAATTTTGCTACTGACAACCAAATACACGCAATGATACCACAGCGTGGATAGGTTTCGTGAGGCTCGATAAATCAGAGATGTGGTAAAACAATGTTTGTGTAGATGTAAAGTTGATTACGTGGACTTTCCAGTCTCTATATGGGCGACCTAGTGTTCCAGTCCAATGGCATTCAGTGCTGGCATGCTTTATTACGTCTCCAAAGACGACTTAATGTGCTGAGATTCGAATACTGTGTGACTGAGGAACCTATCATTAGCTCGAGACAACCAAAGCCTATCCACACTTTTATCCAAATGTGCGCGCCTTGCTACTTGAGCCTATCTACTTATGCATCGATAAAAAAGTATCTCACGATACGAGTGTTTCAGAAATTACAATCCCTAAGTCGTAATTTATATCTGAGGCTCTGAAAACACCCCTAAAATCTTGACAGCCAGCTATTCTGAGCCATTAGACAAAGGGGTGTGGAGAAAAAGGGGAGGCTGTTGGACTTACTGTGGACTGCGGCTCCTTGGGGGAGGGCCAGTGGAACTCCCAGGCCTTGACAACACCGTCCTCAGCGGCGGTTGTCACGGCGACAAGGTCGAAAGTGTGCGAGGTTCCAGCGGGGGAGGTTGTAGGTGTGGCCGCAGGAGAACGACAGAAGCCATAGGGTGAGAGACGTACGCTCGTCACCGAGGTGCCGTGCGCGCACACATCGAAAATCTTGCAGCGCTCCGGCAGACTCCATATCTACGGTCGAAAAACTCGCATTAGGATCTTAAACGATGCACACCGTTGTCTCACACAATGTTAGTAGAGAGCGTATAATTGAGTAATCTGGTGGTTTCGTCTACTACGCAACTTTTAATAATGGATTTGTTTTCGCAGTACTTTTGACCATTTATTCCTTCCACGTTTCCGTGGCCAAAGTGACCGTTTCATTGGTGCCAATGTAGCAAGATGGTCCCACACTATTTGATGTTTTACCCAATGGATGAGGGGTAATTATCAAACCCAAACTCCTACTTCACTATGACTTCAAATTTGGCCAATACCAGTGTGGAAAGATGATGAGAAGGGCTGGAAATTTAGAACTAGTAATCAGAAGTTCAAATGACCGCCTCATCCTCCGTTTTCTCCTATTATTCCGCCAAATGGGTATCTCCTTTTCTGGGTATCACCATTAGCTAATCGTGTGCGAAATAGGCATTTGAGAACTAAAACTGAGATCGAAACGGAGGTGACTGAGGTTAGATTTTAAAACGTTTCATAAAATCATAAGTGGCAAGTCCGTATCCCGTAGGGAAGGGATGATGGATTATGGTAAGGATTTTTTCAACAAAATATTGTAAAAATTACCAGCAGTTGTTTATTTTTGTTGTTAAAAGGCGTAATAACCCATTCGGTTGCCGCATATCTCAAGACAATCCTGCATCAGATGTGTGTGGGTGTGTGTAGGCACGAACTCACCACACCGTTCGCGTTTTAGGCCGCAGATCGAGTCGTAGTGTCATAACGAAGTTAAATCTAGATCTTATATGCATTTCTTTGAAGATAACATCAAAGACTGTGAGTGTGCTTGTATCTCAAATTCATGGATCAGCGTGAAATAGCCACGTCATCCGCACACACAAGGTGAGTGGAATAGTAATATTTAGGTTTTGTTCAGCGCAAAACTAATTGCGACAACTAAACAAAAAAGTGTGAATCGTCACAAGTTCATTTCGTTAGCGAATTCGCCTCTTTTATAGTATGCTATGAAATAAAAAGAGGGATGGGGATAAAATAATCGGCTTGAGTTGAATGTACAAGACATTTGTTGAGCTCTTGTCTGGAGAATGGAGTTAAGGAAAAGTATGCTTTTGTGGAAACAAATTTAAATTGCCTCAGTAATGCCTGAGCACGCGAAACGGTAGATACGAAGTCGAAGCTAAAAGATAGCGTGCATTCAAGTAGGATTATATACACGGACTGGATACACAAGGCATACCGACGAATTCGGTTAATGTGGAGTTGAGGTAAGGGTGAGGGAGATAGCATGCAACCTCCCCCCACACGGAGGCCGTTTGTGTTGATAAATGGATGCGAGACCGATAAAGCAAAAAGATACTGCTGTTCGGTGTGAATAGAGCAAACAGCATCGACACAAATCAAGTGAGGTAACCTATCTGTTTGAATAGATAGCAAACGCAAAGGTTAGGTCAAAGCGCTGTAATCAAGCAAAACTGAAAAACCAAATACAGTTGTTAATATCTTTTTCACCAGTCTAGCAACGCTGAAACACATCAATTATAGATTGTACTGAATGAACAAGTGATATTCAGCTTTCAAATTTGGAATAGGACAGGATCTATTACCGCGACACAAGTATTGTGTAAGCAAACGTAAGCGGTCAGTTATCTAGATGAGAGAACTGAATGTGGATCAAAAATTACTTTTGGAGATTCGGGAGTGATTAGGGTAAAGAAGTGGTATTTGAAGAATAAAATACTTGTTTTTGATCGCCTATTTTTTCGCACGACCAATACCTAACCTTAAAAAGGCACGGAAACGATATTAAAAGTAACAGGGAAAGACGACATTTTTCCAACATAGTAAACATGAAAATGATTTGAACGTACGACTGCACGTCCGCTGGTGAGGCCAGCGGCAATGAGACAGAAGTTGCCGAAGGGCTGACTGTCCAAGGTGGTGATAGTGGTCGAGGGCGGACAAGGCAGGCAGAACTGTGCGCGACTTGCAGTCACAATGGTCTCAGGATTCTGCAAATCCTCCACGCTCCCAGGTAACTTGTTCTCGAATGCCCACACCTATGGACGTTTGGGTAATCCATATGTACTTACGACGCTTATTATGGTAAGAGTTACTTCCGTTTGAATAGCCCGATGGAAGTTCACCTAGTTATTTAGGACCCTGGTTGGTAGCACTGGTGCCATTGTTCGTATTATCAGTTTGGGACAAACCTCTTTCATATCTTATGTTAAATTCGGTGTATAAGCCCTTACTTCCGTTAACGAGTAAACTCTTGTTCTAAATATAAATGATTTTTGCTCCAGTGAATTTCAACTTCGAATTCATTCGAGTACTAATTTTGCTTCCGCAATAAAGCGCCAATTTGACAACAAGGCCAATGATTTGACAGATCCACAGTGATGGGTTTTGAATGACTTGTAAGAAGAGCTTCCAAAAATTCAAATCGCATTCCGATGGACTAAACTCTGAAGTTTACGGACCACCAGCCATCAAAGTTAGCAGCTTGACAATTAGCTACGCCTGAAGAATAAGGGGTTGTGAAAGTGCTGCATATCATCTGAACCTAGTTTGCTTGCAGAGTACATTGGTTTTTTTTTAAAAAAAAAACATTAAAAACAAAGAAGTTCCCACACTTATGAGCAACATGGAAAGAAGCTCGAGAGGTAGAGATCGATAAGATCAAGTGTTCGCAAGCTACCGAAAAAAAAGTAGTATTGAAGTAGTGTGTGGAGTGGTTTTTACTATAATTTATAACTAGAAAGCTCAAATACTTTCTTATATGATTCTGGAATAAAATACCAATGATAGAAACCATAAGGTTGACATTCATTCAATTCGCTCTAGTTTTCTCGGCTAAGATTTCGAACTTTGCAGCAACTGATACCGTAAATGAAAATACGATTCCATTAAAGCAATATCACAAATGGGAAAACACATTTGCAAACATGCTGAGGAAAGGAGGTGACATACTGCCTTATCAAACCGTTTCAACATACTTCGAGAAACTACCATATCACAAAACATTCAATAGGTAAAACATTGGACGCGCAACCAATCCGCCACATCAGTGGAAACGAAATAAAGGTGAGGAAGAGGCGTCTTACCAGGACCAGGTTATCGATTGAGGCGGCGACCAAGGGGTTGTCGGGCGGAATCCACCCACCGGGATTGATGGGCGCTCGAGTCTGATTGGGCCAGTGGATGAAAATGCAAACCTTGGCCACCTTGCCATCAGTGAGCGCGAAATCCACCAGCTTTGGATCACAGTAGGACTAGGGGACAGGATAGAACAAAATCTCATAACGGTGTGTATGTGGTTTTGGTTTATTTGCTGTACTGTAGGATAACATCAGCAACGTGGGGGGGAATCACTGCGTGTTTATTAACTAGACGCGTTATTAAGAGATAACAAAATAGCTAATCAGCGCAAAGGATAATAAAAATGGGTGCGTGAGAATGTGTCCTTGAAGCTGTCAAGGGATTCCCAAGAACTTAAAGAAAAAGGAATTCACTCTGTCCCTACTTTTAAGAGGTAAGCGACATTTACCTTCATTGATAAGGCTAATAACATGCTTATAATCCCCAAATTTCGCACACGAGATCGATGGGGAGTATCAATCCTATAGTCCTAATTGACATCACAAAGCATCATTACCTAAACAAGTGAGAAAAGAAGTATTATTACGAACAGATTCTATTAAAAACAACTTGTAATTTCGCATAACTCACTTGTGATAAAATTAGAACCATGTAGAAAAGCGACTATTAACTATTCCTCCCTTAGTTTGAAAACTCTCAAAACAAGTTTTTCTCATTCGACTTTCGAGTCTAAAATGGGTCGTGGAATAGGAGGATTTCCAAATAATTCTTAAAAACTACGTTACCTGAGGGTAAGCTAAAGCGATCGAGAAGCTGTTATTTGTAGATGAGGGTGATAAGTTTGAGAAATTTTCCGAAATCGAACTTCATAAAAAATAATTACTTGAGACCATTTCCCGATATTTCACGATTATTTTTTAGGTCACAACGAAGGTAACTTCACCCTTTAACATCGGGAACACTACTAGCTTGTGCAAATATTGCGCATTTAAAGTAGTAACAAATTCTTTTACAGTTTCTTAAGAATAAACCTCCCCATTACTAACCCTAATTCGTACTTTATCATCAAAATGGATGATGTGGAACAATAATGAAACGATACGCAACATTAATGAGCAAAAGGCAGTAACAATGACTACAACACACCGGTATTGAAAGTAAATGGCTGCATAATTGCTGTATTAGGTGGCATAGTCATTTACTACCGTATTAGTATCGAGAGGAGAACGTTCGGGACGAGGTGTTCGGGCACTCATCAAGGCAGAGTAGAGTGGGTTCGCCTTGAGGGGAATGGAGGAGGCGATACAGGCAACCCAGCCGATCTCGTCGAGGGAGAAGATCCACAGACGGCCGTTGGAGAGGCTGGCGATGAGAAGAGAGTCGTCGAAGGAGATAGAGGCCGTGGCTACGGTCACCTGGGTAGGGCGTTCACCACGCTGAGCGGGCAAAAGGAGCTCTCGACTTTTGACTAAGGTGAACTTGGCCTGGGACTGCGCCAGTATGGAGTAGATAGTGAGGGAAATCGGCTTCTGGTCAGCGAGCGACAGGGGCACCTGAAGGAAGTTCTCGTGCATTTGTCGACGTTTTAAGGTCATCTCATTAACGGCAGCGGCAGTGGTGGGACTGGATGAACCGGGTGAGTCGGAGAAGAGGAGACAGGTGCCCAGAGGTGAGAGAGCAATGCACTGTTGAACCACCGTTTCGTCGTCGGGAGTATTTGAGTCAACCGTCTGGGTAGTGGATGATGGTGAACCACAAGTGAATTTACAGCTCAGATTTATAGCCCTGATTATTCCAGTTATTAACTACCATATACCCGTCTTATCTATTGGTTTTTTCCATAGCGATCCTAGAAAGTGAAAACAGCCTAAATAATGATACACAAACACGGGTGAAAAGAAGCGAAAAGCATTTTGAAAATTACCGGACTATTAATAAATAGCTTTAAGCGACGAAAAAGGATTTATTTAAACAGCACATTTCGATATACTAGAATTAAATGCGTCAGTTTTAGGGCTAGAAGCAATTAGAAGTTAACATTATCAGCCAAAGTTGATTGCCCCTCGGTGAGTAAAGTGGGACTGAATAAGCTATTTCAGTGGTGACTCTAAATGCTCTTAAAAGTAGGGGTAGAGAAATAAGCAACACTTGTTATTCTGCCATCAAAGTGTGACCTGTACGCAGAATCCTCCAAAGTCGGGGAACTCAACTATGTTTTGCAAAAGAATAAATCAACGAAAACATTTACTATGATTTTATGCCTACCAAAAACGTTTCAAATGATTCAGAAAGCGAGACAACAATGCTCAATTTGTAAATACCAACGAGTTAATGCATTAGTGTTTAGATGTAACCTATTTTCCACAACAACCGATTTGCTTTTGGTGCTAATCGTGCCGATAGGAATTTCAGGCTTTCGTTACGATAAACTACCAACTTCTTCAACCTCAGTACTGAAAATTGGTCTGACACAGTGGAAGAGCTGAACAGGTGTAAGAAAGTAGCATACTAACATCTCCGCTATCAAGGTCTACCTAATGGGAAAATTTGAGGTAAACTTCCAAAAGTAAGCACGAAATTATTCGCTTCACGATTGAAAGCAAACCTCAAAGAACTGAAATGAATAGGAAAGGAGCGGATTGAGGCAATTTGTTAGCCACACCTGAATTGTTTTTCAAGGAAGGTCGTACAGTCTGTAATAAGTGGGAGATGGCTTTACTGGTGAGTCACAGCGGAAAGCAAAACGCCTTTAGAGGGTCTTCGGAAATAAGTTGTGAAGATTTCACTAATGTTTTCAATTATAAATGAACCAAAAATGGTTAAAATTAGCTTTTCTTGGGCCGACGTATTGCCATTTGAATAAAGAAGTAAATATCAAAAGAGACGCACTTGACGAGAGGGAAGAGAGCTGGCAACCTGGGTGTTGCGTCGAATCTCAAAGGAGCTTGGCAAATTGGCGAGGACAGTAGGTGCAACAGTATATATGGGGAACTCATCCTCCTGTAGTACCGGTGAGGAGCTCCGAGGGGCCACGCCCCTATCGTCGGGCACCCCGACGTCCGCGAGCATCGGCGGCGCCAACGACGATGGCGGTGAGAGGGAGGACGGATTGCCCATCTCGGCAGATACATCGAAGAAGGCGTCGTCATTGACCTCGCCATCGTCGTCCACGTCGATAGTGGTGAAGTAGGATTCGTCCAAATCGGTGACACCCATATCGCTCACCATACTTGAGCGATTGAAGGACCCACCAACGCTCGGTGATTTTAAGAAGGCGTCCAGGGGAGGCAGATTGGAGACGCTAAAAGAAGAACAATATCAATGAATATCTGCCTGCCTTTCCATCCAAAGAGAGTACTCCAGTGGCCACTAAGATAAATTTGATTGCACTCCAGTCCCATGTCCACCAATTCAAATGTTCTTTTCTTTTAAAGACACCTCAACATCAGATTAATGCTAGAAATGTCAAAAACATATAAATTCTACTAATTCTTGATTGTTCCCGAGTAACCAAAGCTAACGTGACAGTGTCAGCAATTTAAAAATCCACTACATGGCTGCACGATTGATTTGTAATATTGCAAAAAAATGAGGAGAGTGAGGGGTTTTGAAGTCATATAAAGATGCTCCGAGAGTGTTGGAATGTGAATACACCCAAAACCTTTGGTTCAGACAGGAGTTTTGTTCCATAACATAATCACCTAATGCTCAAGATTTTGTTTCTTTATTTGAAACAAATTAGTCATGCTCCCAACGTTAGGTGGCAGACTGGGAAAAATAGCAAGTAAATGTAGCACAACGATATTTCGCTCAGTCACACAGCCACCTGGGCTTTTCAGTCCCTGCGGATCCTGTCACCACCTTGGCAGCTTGACTTTTCTGTTAACAGATCGCCACCCATTCTGTGCACTCATGACAGGGTTTTATTCAGACTCATAAATTTTGCATCGCATTCAGTGAGAGCTTGGGCGACAAGATTTTATCATTAATTCCATAAAATTGAACAAGAAAGGGGCATAAAAGGGTACCAAAGATCTGAAAAACGCGTATGGTTGTAGAACCGATAAGCAGATGCAAAATTGTCTGTGATAATTAAGTGCAATAATTATGCGAATGTTTTGCAACATCTGTGAAAAAAAATAGAGCGTACATCATCCGACCGTCAGCTCCACAAGAAAGACAGGACTGGTTTCCGGGTAACAGAGAGATGGCCATAACAGCGACGGATGGTCTGTGAACCTGGAACAGCAGTGAAGAGTGGTGTAAAGAATTTTGCTACTTAAATTATGGTAAGTAAAGAGCTTATCAACAGACTTGGTGGACGGCAACTTCGTAGCCAGAGGTGACGTCCAGGATGATAATTCGACCGTCAGAGGTGCCCAAGAAGCGTCGGTTGATGGACCGATCCCCACTCGGTTTTGCCCGGCGTCGCAAAGACGGTGGAAGTGAGGAGTAGTCGACTTCGTGGGCAATGGCAGTAATCCTGTCCTTTCCTGTGCGTGTAGCCCACACAAGTTCCGAATCCGCGCTGTTGCTGTTACTGTCAAAAAAAACGAGAATAAAATCATTTATGTCATTTTAAGATTTCATAAATTATGAAAATTAACAAAAAAGCACACTCGGAATGAATTTAAGAAAGTAATACACACTAGAAATACTTAATGATGGGGAGAGAGCTGTTTACATGCAATCGTTAGTATTATTTGCTTCCCAATAATGCAAGGTCTTTGCAAGAGTACCCAACATCCATTAATACATTGATCACTCATATTTACGGTCATTTTATCAGACCGCCAGATCTTTGACGAAAGCTTATCATGAATAAAAAGATTTCAAATATTACTAGAACCATCTATTTCAAAACCCAACTCCTCAGATATCAGTTAATAAAGATAGCAACATTTCAGTCATTCAAAGGAAATTTGACAATAATACATCTAAATGATTTAAGCGTTCCTGGTTTTTCGTAAAGGTGAGAAATTTCAGGTTTGCCAAATAAATTACATTTGATGATTGGGCCTATTTCCGAGGAAAATAGAGGCCCATTATTTGGATGAGTGCTGAATATAAAGCATGTATTCTACCCATATACGAAAATGTCTGAAAATGCATTGACGGGGTGCCATATTATGTTAATAAGCATTTTAAAAGACTAGAAAAGTCTCACTTTCAGATCATTAGATCCTCGACAAAAATGGAAATTGGAGGTTATTACAAACATAAGTTACATTACGCAAACCATGTTTCAGACAGAAAAAATGTGAATTAAAAACCAACAGGAGGTAATTTGTGGTCCTGTTTTTACAGTAATCTAAAAGATATTTCAGCAGTGGTATCTAAAACAGTTCAATTGTCTGTGATTAGTGTGAGCACAAAGTTTCACAGGTTCATTCAATAGGTTATCCAAAAACGACTTTGTAAAACAGCTTTGGGGTTCTAAACGTTTTATACAAGTAAGCCAAATTCCAAAAAGTCACTTTCAGATAGGTTACAATCGAATTAATCGTAAGGACGAAAAGGAAGGAGAGATGAGTGATGCAGAGGCGTACCTCCAATACCAGTAGTACTTCGGAGGCGGGGGGACACTAGCTTTGCAAGCAGCGGCGTCAACGGCCTTAAGAATGTTGAGGGATTGTTGGAAGACAGCGTTGTCACGAGGGAACATGAGACCGAGTTGGAGGAGGTCGAGGCCCTTCACCATGAGGTCCTTGTGCGGAAGGCGGGCGATGCAGCGTTGGCGTTCTCCAGTGTCATTGCGACGAAACGTGGGGGGCGAGGGCGAGCTGTGGTGGCAGAAGTGATAGTGACTACCACAGCTGCCTCCACATCCACCGCCCGCACCTCCACTCCCCATCCCCAACGCGTCTGGAGTCATGCTCTGCATTGCGCTATGCCGTCCTTCACCACCATTACTACCGCCACCACCGCCGCCACCCACGTCGCACAGAGAGCCCGGACGCGTCGGCGAGCGCGCACGTCGATGTAACTCGCGCACCAGTCTGTCCGGGTTTATTAACTGGTAGGCCGTAGTTTGAAGGAAGTGAAGGTACATGTGCCTACAAAGCCATTAGCCACCGGACTCTTTCTATACTCAAGATGTAACGGTATTGGTAGAACGAAACAGCGCTGGTAGATGAGCTTGCAACAAAAATTATTTCTACTACTCTTGTGTCCACTTACTACTTCGGATACTACGACGCACCTTTGCAGAAAGAGAAATTAAACACGGTTAGCAAACCATAACACTGATTGTTAAATGTTTAGGAATTAGAGTTTGCTATTGTTAGAAGGTAGCAAGTGATAAATGGCCAATCAATGGAACCTTCACTTACCCGTGTCCCTTCGTCAATCATTCCTATAACATCAAAAGGCACCAATCGAAATCGCTTGAACCATTTGGCTTTCATATGTTCTTCTTACCAGGTTAAAACTGACAATTCGGTTTGTCCTTTTAAGTACTAGCACTAATATATCCACAGGATGCCAGAGGAAGCAGTCACTAGGGGTCAACATTCTGCCCTTTTAACGTTGGAGAGCTTAAATTTAGAATCCAATGTGGAATGCGGTATAACTGGACGTCTTAGCAAAAAGTGTTCACGAGGTCATTAAAAATAATTTTAACGAAACTTACGTTTCATGACACTTCTATTTAGCTCTCTTTAATTTTACTGCCATCTTTGGCCTTCTAGTGCAAAATGCAATCTTGAACAGAACCATATTTTATTTGAAACATGATGCTACGGAGTTCTGAAGACGTAGTTTTATCCCACGAACTCTCAATTGCTTAAATGGAGGGCATTCCTTATACCAAGTAAAGGCCGTCTGAATTTGTTATTCGGTTCAGGTAGCAGGTAAGTTTGTTGTACGCACAGAGTGTAATTTATGACACACGAGTGTTTTAATCATTGTTAAAACAAACCACACGTTTAACTGCCGTAAGATTTTCTGATCTAAAATTATCCATATAAATACCCAGTTTTTGAAGTACCGCTGCTGCAAACGTGAAATTAAAAGTACAACTACACTGTCATTCTAGAGGAGCAAAAACTAAGGTCACTGAAATAGCAACTGATATCGTAGTGGTGAATGTTAATTGACTGGCAAATTTTGACGGTGGTAGTCAAGGTTTGGAATCCAAATAAATAGTCCACGGACGGATAAATTTGCTGACTTCTGTGCCGATACTGATAAGAATTTTGCCGGAGAAATATGGCGGGAAGTTGACGCAACAAACGAAGAGACGGGTTTTAAAAGTTTTGTGGTAAATCAATCATCAAGCAAAAGAGGGTGAAGACCTACGGAAAACAGCCTTATTTGAAAAGTTAGTAAGGTATTCAGAAACAATTTACAATAAATGAAATGCGCTTTACAGTCTACTTAGATGAAACTTAAACAGGATAAGATAGTGCTGTACAACCGCACAGCGAAATTGGCCAATTGGACGGCGAATGCCTATGAAATACGAGGAGAGAGGCTCACCAATCAGTGATGCGGCCAACCCTCTGAAAGACTGGCCGATATCGTCGGAAGTCAGCGAGGACAGCGGAGGAGCCGAGAACGAGTAGACGAGCACAAATGAACTGGAGGTCGGTCAAGAGATCAATAAGACCGTTCAACCGTCCCGCCTTGAGCATGTGCTCCCCTACCGAGCGACAAAAGTAGGTGTGAATCAATTTGAAGTCAGCCAGTTGGTTCCACTGACCTCCAAAACGAGCTTTGTAATTGTCCACAAATTGGCAGTGGCAGATCTTAGTGGGAAAAAGGGGAAAAATCGCACGTTCAAGGCGCCACAAAAGCTACTTGTACCTGTGATGCATTAAATGATTACCTTAAAGATTGGTTTTTATGAATGTAAGGATCATATTACACACATCTATTGTATTCAAAGACGTTGGTCGAATCAATGATTTAAGAAACAAAATGTATCCATGAAAACGCCTTTCGCTGGTATCAGGAAGGTAATCTGAGCCATTCCGTCTTTCCAAGGCCCTTGAACAAAGCCTAAGTCGTATGGGTTACTGACCTGTTGCCGCCTAGTGGGTACGGTGGTTCGAAGGAGGTCCAATTGCAGGTTTGGAACGGAGAAGAAATTTCGCCCACTTCCGTCATCTCGTCTGCATTGAACCAAAGAAAAGCGGTGCAGCCTCTGAAGTGTATCCACCGCCTCCTCTTTTGTGCATGACCAGTAGATCTCATACACCTAAGACGAGAAAAAAACAACCTATTTAGGCCCAATTTAATGAAGCGTTCATAAAGTACATAGCTTTGGAAAAACGGAAAACATGACCGCATATGTATAAGGAGATGAGAAAAACTGGCTCCTTACATAAATTTGGTTTAAAATCATTTTAGATCAAACGTCTCGGCGTATGTACGACCTAACAGCTACCAAACTACATTTGTCAAATATCGTCCTTCTTTTAATGGACCATTATACACATGCGTTTATTAGGCAGAGGAATAGACAGCTGAACGAAATTAAAGCTACTTTGCTGAAAATACAAGTCACGAACCCGCGGGCTATATGGGAATAGAATGGCGAAAGATACCATCATCTCGAATGAACAACTGCTGCTGCAGTTTGCACTGAAAGCCAAACAACCCCTAGCATATAGGGTCTCTGACTGGTGTCGTAATGTGCGTGAACCGTACATTACAGATGTGTGTTCGGAAACCAGAACGCCACGCACTTCTAGATTCGACTTCATCGTAAATACGCCTTAATAGCAAACTGAAATGCCGAATAACTAGAGTACGAGACAAACACGACGAACGAACTGGGGGCAACAAGCGGCGCAGTACATAATAAACAAGAGGATCAATAAGAAGACGAGAAATTGGGGGTGTCGATTTCTAATAAACTCCTATTTTCTTATCCGGGCCAGACATCACAAATATGTGACGTATTTTCTTTACCAATTTAATGAATGGCTTCACCAAATCATACTGCAAACAGACTAGTTGCACGTAAGCAATATTGAATGTGGATAGTCTGAGAAGGACAAATTTTTCGATACCTAAGCGGCAGTTGATTTGGTCAAATCGGTGGCACAAGTGTTGGCCTATTATATTTTGTTGAGATCCGGTGGCGAATAAGTTGGTTTAATTCAATGCTTTCATTGACCCGTAAAAGTGCAAGCGATCACAGGTAGAAAACGAAGTTGACGGAAGGAAGATCGAGTGAAAGGTGATTAGTAAAAGTGTGGGCATGCGCAGCACACGCCAATGGAGGCGAGCGAGTGGACGGCCGAGATGCAATGCGCGTGCAAGGGAGATGAGTCAGTGCATGGGGGCAAGGTCCCTGACCGTTCATGTGTATGCTTGCATATTTGCTCCTGCAAACGCAAACGTAACTATTTTTAGCCGATGATGAAGGCACATGAGTCACATGCACACACCAGCGAAAAAAAACAATATCCTATGACAGCTTTGGATAATCTAGGTTAGGGCTTTTTCTCTCGAGTTCCAGAGATAGCCGATGTCAGGAAATGGAGACTTGACGTGCTCCCCAGTAAAAAATCCCTATAGGAGGAACCACCGGACATGAAGCACATAGTGGTAATAAATGAGGCAATGATACCAATGAAAGGGCCAGGTTAAATGCATTGAAAGTAGATGTGGGACAATAGCCCCTCGTGTCTTTTGTTGAATAGTGCCCTCGTTTAAAGAATCAAACACCTAGTTCATATTATGAATATGCTTGGGTCGCTAGGATCAAAAAAAGTCGAGCGGCCGTGCGATGATGAGATGGAGTACGTAAAGGTCTGGACAATACCATCCAAGGTGATGTGATTAGAATATTCGTAACTTTGCTCTCTGAAGACGATAGGCAGTAAAACGTTCTTGTTAGTATTTTTTAGTGATCGCAGCAAAAGGTACCAACTGCAAACACCGGTTAAGCTCTCTTGAAGTGGTGGAAATTGTCATTTACAGATCAAGATTTGGTCCATGATAATAACAATGAATACCACTTAACAAGTAAAAATGAGGCACACAATGCGGGGAGAGCCTAGACAAATGCATTTACCTAAGCCAAGTAGTAAGGTGCAGGGCCCATCCTACAGCAAATACTGTCCGTCTTGACAGGCAGCATCGATCATGCTCAGTTCAAAACATCACCCCTTCCTGTCTCTGGTCAGAGAGAAGCGCGGTGAAGTTGAAGGTTCAAACCCCCAATAATATATAAAGAATAAGAAAGATTTACCAAATCAAGTGCCTAAATTGAACACTCCAACTAAAAAAGAGCAATTTAGGAAGTGGCCAATGCAATTTCTCATTGCAGTTAATTTTCAAGGACCCTCCCAGTATTAACTGCTTCAATAGGTACAGTTTGGACGAATATAAAAAAGTAGGTAGAAGAAAAATACCAGCCACCTTGGCGTTATTAATCGTAGATGAAATGTAGAAATCACAAATAAATCTCAGATTAGCGCATCAACTTACATTTACAAAGGTATTAATGCCTCAAAAGATCATATATCGTTTATACTTATTGGAAATATCATAGCGAAATGTTGGACTATTTTGCATGAACTTTTTCATACTTATACTCCAAAGCTAAACCCTCAAGATGCAAAAAAATACTATTCATGTTAAAAGAATTGTAAAATTTTATTTAGTTTGTGAGTACTCTGAGGTATTTATGAGTACTCGTGGCTGCACTGTGGGAGCGACGCAACAGCATTGCAAAGAGCAGTTTGGTTTAATGCCCCTCCAAAAGGGTCAATCCTACGCGTCACATTCGCCCATAACCTGTTCGTCTTACAACTCTACTATCGTCCTTTGTAAACAAATTTTCGTAAAATACACCTCTTAAATCGTCTCATTCTACGCTAAGTAACTCCATATGTGCTCACAAATTAGCAATGGATAGAGTGAACAGGTAACCGAGTCAAATGTTAACGATAAACAGCGATGGAGATGAATATCGACTCTGTATAGAAGGATGATTCTGCCATAGAAAAGAGTAAGCTGTTTTCTAACCTACTGAAAACCTGAATCTCATGGATCCCTTCTGCTGTAAATGTGAATTAGCCAGAAAAAATTTGGGGACATTGAAAAAATGATTGTGTAGGTATGCATGCATAGGGGACCGAAGGATAATTTATTTGAGGAAAACTCCATTTAACTAAGGAAGGGAAGTACAAGGCATAGTTCTACCATCCCGACACGAGACAACACTTGTGTCAATAAAACCAGTGTCAACGTTGTAAGGGTGTACACTGCAAATGCCAATCCTGATTAGACAGATATTATACACAACCACCCTTTCCTATTACTAAACATTTAAATGCCTTGCCACTTCTACAGCACGCGGTTAATGCACCGCATTCCTAGAAGTGCCTAGACTTATTTCCAAAAATGGGTGATTTTATGAAAATGTCCCAAGCAGGGCATGAAAACACAATTGCTATTAACAAAATTCAAAGGTTTGGAAAGCTAATAGTTACAACTGGCGACGTTGGCAATATTAATATCGAGGACAATTGTTAGCGATGTAATGAATCGACATTCCTTGGGAGAGGGGGACAATAGGATTGTAAAATCGGTCTATTCCCCCGAACTTCACAAACGCAGGCTGTTCTTTTGTCTCTCACATCGGTACATACAAGTACTGCGAGGATCCAACGCACGAAAAAGTTGCCTATTTGAACTAAAAAAATTGCCCGAACAACGCCCAGACAATCAACAAAGGGTTCCATAAGTGACGCGTGTAGCTCTTAGCTTGGCTACTACCGAGCCTGCGAACTGCTGCAAAAGTACAAGATGGACTTTTATTTTAAACTAACAATACAGACTTGTCGCATGTCATATCATACCATTACGTATCGTATCGTATTTCTGCAATCCACTTTATTACTGCATTGATAAATCTAGTAGATGCAGAGACTTACGTCCTCTGTAAGGGAGCAGTTATCTTCAAATATCACAAATTGGCGATATCGCTCCAATTCAACTTTTGGAAGACGGTTAAGGCTGGCGGAGACAGCCTAAAATGAGTAAATGGCAGTCACAAGCCAAATGGATTCAAAACTAGAAAGTTTTAGGTCATACGTGCATTTAAGTTGGCTAGTAAAAATATCCCAGATTACCAATTCCAGTGAAAATAAATTAACGTTAGTTGATGGAGTGAATTGCATCTATTTCTTCTAGAAAACTAATTAGTATTGAGTCAAAATGGAATGATAAGTTGCAAAGGTTAAGCATTCAACCCAATACTTTAAGTTGAGTACACATTTTGATGGAATAAGCTATTCCTTTCGACAATTAGACCACACAGTTTAAAGTAATTTCTTCCAAAAAGAATGAGATAAAACGCTTAGATTATCTACCTAATGGCATTGGAATCAATGTGAAGCACTCAGCTTCAAATTAAGCAAAAACACAAAACGGGGATAACGATAAAATGAAATTGAACAGTAAGTACAAATAACATTTGCGTTCTGAATTAAAGGTGGAAAATTAAAATCAAATCTAGGCATAACATCAAATCACTTCAAATTAAGAAACACCATATAAATGAAAACAAAATCTAGAGACAATATTTATGTTAATCGTGGCTCCCAATCATGTGCGAAAGAAAGGCTTCCCGATAGTTTTTTAATAGTATCAAAGGCTCAACATTAATACCAAATAACACCCCTCGTTATTACCTTTATAGTCTAATTTATAAGATTTCCCTTTAGTTTTCTTATGTGTAGCCGGTGAGTGCAGCATCACTAACTCACACCTTCCACCTGCGCAGGGGATATGCGCTGTAGGTTTAAACCACACAAACGATTAGTAAAAGTGCTTTTGATTTTGCTGTAATTCAGTTGAAGCGCCAGAAACAGTGTGTGCTTTTGGGGGCAATGGGCACGGAGTGCGAAGGAGAGTGGGCGTTGACTAGGGGAGCTATAAAAGTATCAACATCCAGCGCAAGTGCGTGAAAAAAGGCAGCAGTAACAGCCACTACTGCTCTCCTGACTGGCTGGCCTGTCTAGACATTAGTGCCCATGCTTGCGTGCCAGTGAGCGTTACGTTAAACGGCTCAGTTATTGCAAGCAAGCGTACGGTAACCAACCAGATCGATGCGGATGGGGGTGCAACGAATGATAGAGGAGGGGAAAGAGAGACTCACCTCATCGAGGGACTCGTATGTGTACCAGGAGGGGAAGTTAACCTTTGACCAGTCAATGATGACGTCGTTAGTGGCACTACGGAAGCCGCGGGGGCCAAGGTAGCGAGCCAACTCGAAGGTAGGCGAGGCAAGGAGGCCGCCCAGCAACGAGGCGGCGAGGGGCGAGCCGCGACACAAAGCCGGCAACTCTGCGTACACACCTCCTGCGTTTGCAAGGCAATCACGAGAAATGGACGCACGCGTAGCTATCAGGCTTGCCACCTCTCCATCGTCCATGTCCGCTTCTACGCTCTCCTACAATTCGTACGCACTTCAGCCTTACACACTAATCACTCCCTCATTTTGCAGTAAATAGTAGTGCACTGCCAAACCATTGCCCGAGATGACAGGCTGTAGCGAGGAGTTTTAGGGGAAGTTACTCATGACTATCGTTACTAGGAATTGCAATTAATCCCAAATCTGAATAAACATAGTTGAGCGGCGTCGAATGCTAGCTGACGAGTAAAAGCAGTCACTAACACTCCAGTCTATTTTCATCGTACACTTTTCTTGAAGATAGGATGAACCATTTAAACTTCCTAAATTCCACAGCCAATGTTATTTGAGTGATCTAATAGCAAACCCCGCCTTAAAAATCCGTTCACAATATATGCAGGCGGCCAAGTTGATCTGGAACCAAGTGACCCACAAATAAACCTATTGTAAAAAATGACGTAGGAAGTAGCATTGTTTAGTAGGCTGAGAAGAGAGAAAAGGCAACTTATTTGCACCACTGGCGCATAAAATGACCATAATCAAGATAACGCATAAAGCTAGGTAACAGCTAGAAGCGGTCCCTGATGCTCTGGCCCAATTTCAGCGTATTCAGAATTCATTATTCTTGAAACTGAGGAGTACCAGCTGTACTTAATGGTCACCATAGTTATTATTATCCTAGTGATAAATTTACAGCCTCTTCCCACTATTATTTAACCCTGAGTATCCTATGGAACACAAAGGTCAATCAGGAGCCAGCCTTCCTATGAGGAGATAGAATCGCACAGAAATTGCCATGGAGCCTATTACTTATTCTTATTGCTGTACTCGAGTAACCTCGGCTACAAAGCTGAGACGCAAGATTCCGACCTTTGAGGAGCACAGAATTAACTACATTGCGGGTGATACCTTTTAAAACGGAATTTATAATATGATAGACCAAATTGGCATGGATATGGAGTTTGTGGTAAAGTTGACATTAATATAATCAAAACTTAAGGATGGGTGAGAAACCATATTCAGTACCTTTTCATAGGTGTCAAATATGCCTACCATTTTGACAGGGGTGAGGACACGCTGAAGTATGTTCATGTCTCGCGAGGTGACAACAAAGGCGGCGGGGAGAGTGCCAAGGGCACTGACAACACAGTCGTCCCAGACATCGTCGAGCACAATGAGTAGGAGGGAGGCAGGAGAAACGGAGTGCGTGTCGAGCACCTCAGAGCGTCGATACTGGCGCGCGATCAACAATTTGTGCAGTAGTGAGGTCATTTTGCTTACATCACCTTCACAGCCTCGGTAAGGCTCCTCCCGCTTGTCCTCGCTACCCTGTCTTATGCACCGACCTTGAGAAGGCAGAGAGGCCACGTGCTCGATTAAGGCGGAGAGCACATCAATCACCTGCTGAGTCTGTTCCACTCCCCTCTTCTCCCCGACTCGCAACCACACGACACCTAGAATGAGTCTTGGTCATTGTTGGTAAGTACCCACCTCCCGAAAAGGTGTCAGTTAATAGTTGACGATTTTGACGCAGGACAGCGGCTGTCATTACAGACTTGCCCTGTCCAGGTGGACCGTAGACGAGAAACCAGGCATTTGTGGGAATATCAGAATGAGAGGCTGCATCGTTGTCCAGTGAACCATCCTGACGTACGAGCAAGGAGATAGGTCGAAATTTGCCGCCCAACCACCGGAACCCATCCGTAAGTTTAGCGATCGTCTGCGGTCGATTGATGTAAGCCGTTGGCCTGTCAGGGACAGCACCACGCAACAGAGTTTGGTGGATATCCGTTAAACTTAACTGACGATTCCTAAAAGTAAAGGGCATTAGAGAAGAATGCAAACGCGGTCCCACTCACTTTGAAAAGGAAACCTTTTCAAGTTGTTCTTCCAAGGTTTTGGCTAAAAATGGCTGCTCTTGTAAAAGAGCATCTTGAAAACACTTAAAGGCCTCGTTGGACTTCCCAAATAGGAATTCCAGGAAAGTCCGCGCCTTGTCCATGGTGGTGATCTTCGCTGATATCCTTTCATACTCATCCCGGGAAATGTGCTCACCACCAATAAGGTGGTCAATAATTTCGGCGGTGTTTAGACTTTGAACAAATGTCGGATAGCACCTCTTTAAAGCCGACAATTTGTTTTCGTCCATACTGCCAAGGCATTTAAGGTTAACTTAAGTCTAAAGGCATCATAAGAAATAAGAAATTTAACAGTTAATAAGAAGACACGAACTTCTTATAAAGGAAGTAGAACGAATAGCCCTTGGTAAATCACTTTTATTATCAATTAGCATTGGCGTTTCATAAAGTGCAGCTACAGCACAAAATAAGGTGCTGAAGGGTGGGTTGAGAACGAACAAGATTTGAGTCAAGTCTGGCAATGAGGTAGAACAAATTAACTCAGGCAATTAGAAAAAAGGAGGTTTGGAAATTGGGAAAAAGGTAGACAGTAAATTTGTTAGAGAGCACTAGATTTTCTGCCTTTAACTTCAGGTTGAAGTGATCAATACAAAGTTGATGTTTCTTTACATGCAAAGATAGATCTGAAAACCATACAAGCATTGATTTCAATGTATGCAAGTAAATCACAGCAAAGTAACTAAATAATAGCATATGCCCCAAATTTAACAATACACGGGGAGGGATTGGCAAATTAACTTCAGTGTAAAGAGCAAATTCATGTATCACACACAAGGTAAGCCTATTAACACCTCTAACAAAACCGAAAGCACACCTGAGAGAGAAACCCAGTATTACAACGCCATACCATCCAAATGAGTCCTAGAACCACTCGACGGGGGCAACCCACTTAATCGTGGAAGTTTGAAAGAAATTAGGACATTGATCGAAAAGAGTTATGCAATGAGGTATAGCTTTCTCAGTTCCTTTTGTCCTTTTTAGACATACAGTCTCGGAACAGCTTTACTTTATCCTGACACTTGCGCCAATCCTTGTGTTCAAACATACACTCCATAATAGCATTGTGTTCATCCAAGCAGCCTGTATGTTTAATCATTTTAATAACTGGATCTTCGTCTTCATCCTCATCCGTGGGTACAACAGGCTTATAAACATGACCACTCATTTCAAACCACAGCAAGTCACTATTGGGCAAGTTCTAACCAATCAGAAGGTGGGCGAGGCATTCAATTGCTTGCTAACCAAAGTTACTTATATAAACAACGATGTTGACCTAACATACACAACCAAAGTGCCAGTTTGAAACGAATAGCAGTAAAAAAATTTAAAATTTCTTTAGTTCTCTTAGAACGTGAATATGACACATTAAAGTCTTGACGTCCTAACAGTTTGAAAATTTTTTGAGGCAATTTTAGGGAATTACTTTGGTCATTAAGTTACTGACGTTAAAATTACCCAGAAATTCGAAAAAATCAAACCTTGAATTCTTTTAAACTGATCTTTGATTGAATGTTCATTAATAACGTGGTTTCAATGCTAGGCTTTTTTCTAAATAAACTCTGATTACCAATATGTTTGCTTTATGTC